AAATCTAGGGATTTAGGAATTTAGGAATTTAGGAATTCAAGAATTTAGGAATATAGAAATCTAGGGAATTAGGTTTTGAGTAATATTGCAATCCAAGGACATAATAATTTAGGGATATTAGTAACTAGGAGTATAGAAATCTAGGGATATAAGAATCTAGGGACATAGGAACTCATTTCAGGGACCTACACGAGTTGTGAGATACCCTGTATGTAAGAAATCTGGGGATGTAGGAATTTTGGAATATAGGAATCTAGGGATATACTAGTAGTGATATAAATTTGTAAATTTAAAAGTTTAAAAATGTAAAAATGTGAACATTTAGAAATTCATAAATCTACAAATTAAGAATTTTACAGACTTAAAAATTAGAAGATTTTGATATTTAGAAATATGGAAATTAAGAAATTTAAATATATTAGAGACTTGATAATTTAGAGATTTAAAAAATGTAGACCACTTGAAACATAGAAAGATTTTGAAATTTTTCAATTTAAAAATTGAAAAACTTAGAAATACACAAATATCAAATTATTCAACTTACAAATTCTCAGCAACAAATTTTCAAACTTCCATGATTCATTTTTAGAATTTTGCAGTAATTTTTTTATAAAAATTGAAAGTAACATGCAATAACTGTTTTCTTTTCTATAATAATATTTTTTTTATCAATATTGTCTAATTACATTTAGTAATAGTAGCAACGCGAGGTTGTTCGATTTAAAAATTTATTTTTACATCATGAATTTCCGAAACTCAGCGCATTTCTTATTTAGGACTCTTCTTTTATGCTCGGATCAATAGTACTGATGGAAACAGTCCAACACACTGCTCTCTTCTATTTGATCATTAAAATTCCTTCAGTGCTGTAAAGAAGTTACACGAAATATTTATAGACAATGTTTCAAAAGATTCTTCTACCACGTGATCGTATAGTTAATTAATTTTGCATTTAGAAGCAAGTTTATAGCAGAGAAATTGTACCTAGAAACTTTCTTGCTACGAGTTAATGAAATTTCTGAAAACTTTCTATTAATTATTTTCATCGGTATATTTATTTTATTGAAGTATCTATTTCGTAATATAAATTTAATTTTTATATAATATAACCAAACGCAACTTCACTCTTTTCCAATTATTATAAACTAAAATTTTGTGATATCAAAATTTTTTAAATTTCAATTAAATTACAGTATACACTAAAATAGTAAAACCATTAATAAAATTTATATTTTGACTTTAAAAGAAAAATACATAAATAATATAGGAAACGAATATTTATATTTATTTATTCATCAGTCTTTACAGATATAACAAAATTTTATAAAAATGCTTTCTTAAAATCACAATTTTCTATTTCGGGATTTAGAATTCTTACATTCAACTTTTAGTTCTAACCTAAAAAGAAATACAATTAACTTACAAACGTTTATATTTAAATAACTGTTTATAACTTACAAACACTTACATTTAATTTTATTTACTATTAATTATACAAGACGAAAATATTTATACAATATTTAAAATTGATAACATTTTTCACTTTGACTTTGCACTTGCAGACGATACATTTAAAGATACATTTGCAGAAGTATTTTATGAAAAATAATATATGTGTTGGTTCTACTATTTTAGAAAAGTATGCACGTTTTAAATTTTTGAAGATTACAGATGATGAGTTTCATTTCTCGATATGTTCCATTTTTGAAAATGTTCATTTCAACTTATTTTTAAAGAGACCGCAAGCTTCGATCGACAAATCCTCCTCGGCTAATGAACTTACCCGGTAGACATATTGTAACTAGTTCAACCACGAATCGATGGTGAACATCGTAAAGCAACGTATAAACCTCGCGTGTTCCATTAGAGTAACATAGACTTCTTTGTAGATATTCGAGTTAAGTTACGGCTGCTTTTATCAAGTCCCCATATTGTTAAACATAGTCCGGTTCCATTTTATACTTCTTTTTAACGCGCGAATGTCACTGTGCGAGATGTGTACGCTTAGATACATTATGATTTAGATTGAAGATTATGGAGATTATGGATAGGGTGTTAGATATGTAAATTTACGAATTTACTCATTTTTAAGTAATTGAATTCTCTAGTTTTCAAATTTTCAAATTTTTTAATTTCTGAATTATCACATTTTTACATTCTTAAATTTTCAAATTCTCAGATTTTCAGATTCTCTACTTTTCAAATTCTCAAATTCTCAGATTTTCGGATTTTCAAATTCTCAAATTCTCAGATTTTCGGATTTTCAAATTCTCTAGTTTTCAAATTCTCAAATTCTCGGATTTTCACAATTTTTTTTAGTTTTCAAATTTTTAAGTTTTCAAGTTGTAAAATTTCTAAATTTCCAAATTCACAAATTTCGAAATTTGCATATTCATAAATTCCACAATTTTTCATATTTCCACATTCCCAAGTTCACACTAAATTTCAATTCTAAATTTTCAGTTTCAAAATTTACGTATTTACACATTCCTCAAGTTCAATATTTATAAATTGTCAAATTTCCATACTTCTACCTTCGAATTTACAAATTTCAAAGCTTGTAATTTTACAAATTTCAAAATTTTCCCAACTTTCATTTATCAAACATCTCAAATTCTAATTTTGAATCACTAAAATCCCCAAATTATTGAATTTCTACCCTTGCAAACTTTCCATCTTTCAATTTTTAATCTCCCAATATCCCGAACCCAAGTTCTCAAATTTTCAGCAGTCAAATTTCTCAGATTACAGTTCCTAACTTATCAAATTTAAAACTGTCAAATTTACTGAAGTCATACCAGATCAAAACCTAATTTGATCAGATAAAATTAACGAGAGCTTCATTTTCTTCCAAACTGTGCAAATCCAAAACTGTCTCCATATTAAACCTATTATTGAATACAGCTCCTTTTGAACACGTATCTCGTGTTACTACTGCCACAATTATATAAAGTAAAATCAAATTTCAAGTTAAAATGTTTGATTTATATTTCGGAACAACCCTATAGACTTTCATATAAAATATTCAAAATAAATCAAACTTAGTCAGCAGTATTTTGAAATTCAACGAACTTAAAAATAAATGAAGATTGAATCAAATGCTATATTAAAATAAATTAACTTAGAGTAAATTAGAGTAATATTTTGAGGGAAATCAAATTAATAAAAATGATCACAACCTCGATGTTGAATTAATTTAAAATTTCAAACGTAGAATTTGATATGATTGAATACCTCGTAAATTGTCCGTATTATCAAGATATTGAATTGAGATTAATCTTTTTACTTGATTTTAAATTTTAATCGCAGAAGAATTTAAAATGATTGAGTACCTCGTAAATTGTGGTATTATCAAGATCACCCTATACATCGAAGATTCCAGCGTTATGACAATTACGGAGGCTTTTCGTCTGCCTTGGAGGAAATGGCGTTACTGCATTACGTTCATCCAATTACACCCACATTCCTTTCAAACACAATTTTTCCACCCCCTCCGCCGTGACGGCGACGTTTAGTAACGACGGGGTGAAACGCACGTTCGTGAAACACGGCTCCCTTCTCCGTCGGCAATCGCAACGTGGCAGCCCACGCACGCGTGAATATCGCCGGCCTACGCACGCGTAAATATTGTCGGTAGCACGCTACTAAACCACCTCATCCCCCGTAGCCAATCGGATACGCGTAATTGCAGCAGCCGGTTGACGCTTGTCTCTCATTTTCTTCTTTTTTTCTTCCGTGCTTTGGCAGATTCCAGTTCGGTGGCGTACACGACTGCCCGCGAGTACACTAGCAGCCACATCAGCACGCAAACGTCTCCTGGCTCGCCGTCGACATCGACCAGGGACATCGTCACCGTTTCTGTCCAGTACAATGTGTCAACCACAGACCTCGAAACCAGCCACGCCAGGTGAGTTTGTCAGTTTCGCTCGGACACCCCGCGGTGACGTTGAATATTCACTGCCCGCCAAACGAACTCGCAAGCCGGCCAACGCACACGGGTTGCCCCATTGAGACCCTCGTGTTCTTGTGCTTGTGTCGAGCTAACACGGATAATTATTCTTACGCTTCTGTATGCGAACGTTTCGGTGCTTCTTGCCGGTGCATCGTGTTTCCCTGGGTAATTCAAACATGAGAGGTTTTTCCTTTTAAATAAAAATTGTTTTGTTGATAAATTTGATAATTTTGTTTCTGCTTTTATTTGGTAGTGTCTTCACTGGCACGTGTTTTAAGGACTTTAGGTGCGAAGATTGTAAACGGGTGGTTTTTGAAGTTTAGGATTTAGTTGAGTGGTCTGGTAGTTTAAGTTTTGTGGGCTTATTTGGTGGTACGTTTTAAGACTAACAGGTGTTTTAAGGGATTTAACGTGGTTATGTGAAGATTGTTGAAGGGGTAGCTTTGTGAGAAGGTTGCGATTTGGCTGATTCGTTTGATAATTTAAGTTTTGTGGACTTATTTGGTGGTATTTTTGAAGATTGGCACAAGTGTTAAAGATTTCAAGTTGATAATGCGAAGAATGTAAAGGGGGCGGTTTTTTTAGAAGTTTGGGATTTAGTTGATTCGTTTGATAATTTAAACTTTATGAGCTTATTTGGTGGTACTTTTGAAGACTGACACAAGTATTAAGGGTTTAAAGTTGATAATGTGAAGAATGTAAAGGGGGTGGTTTTTTGAGAAATTTGGGATTTAATTGATTCGTTTGATAATTTAAGTTTTATGGGTATATTTGGTGGTACGTTTGAAGACTGATACATGTTTTAAGGATTTCAAGTTGATAATGTGAAGATTCTCAAAGAGGTAGCTTTTTGGGAAGTTTAGGATTTAGCTGATTCATTTAATAATTTCAATTTTATGGGTTTATTTGGTGGTACGTTCTAAGACTAACACGTGTTTTAAGGGATTTAAATTGGTAGTGTCAAGATTGTTAAAGGGGTAGCTTTCTGAGAAGTTTGAGATTTAGTTGATCAATTTCACAAATTAAGTTGTATGGGTATATTTGATGATACGTTTGAAGACTATTGCATGTTTCAAGGATTTCAAGTTGATGTGAAGATTCTTGAAGGGGTGGCTTTTTGAGAAGTTTGAAATTTAATTGATTAATTTCATAATTTATATTGTATGGGTATATTTGGTGGTACTTTTGAAGACTGATACATGTTTTAAGGGTTTCAAGTTAATAATGTAAAGATTCTTAAAGGGATGGCTCTTTGAAAAGTTTAGAATTCTGTACATTCATTTGTTAATTTAAGTTTTATAGCCTTATTTGATTGTACGTTCAGAGACTGACGCATGTTTTAAAGGTTTCAAGTTAATAATCTAAAAATTGTTAAAGGGGTTGTTTTTGAGGAATTCAAAGTTTAGTTGCTTAATTGAATAATTTGTAATTTCTGATTTTATTCCTCACATAGTTAATTTGATAGCTTAAGTTCTCTGGCTTTATTTGGTGGTATCTTTGGGTGCTAACACCTGTTTTAAGGACTCTTAGGTTGATTATATGAAGATTACAATAAGGGTTGTTTTTTAAGGAGTTTGGAGTTCAGTTGATAAATTAGATCATTTTGGTTTCTTTATTTTATTTTGAGGTACCTCTGAATGTTAATACGTGTTGTAGGAATTTAAAAGATGGAGTGTTTAATTGTAAAAGGAGTTGATTCTTTTTAAGTTTGTTACTTTCAGTTTAATAGTGTTTAATTGTAAATGGGGTTGTTTGTTGTTTACAAACATTCTACTTTATTTCATAAGTATAAATAATGGAAAATTAAATTTTGTTCTTCATTGGTTATTAAGTTTATATGGCAATACAATCTTCAGTTTAATAAATGTTAAATGTAAAAGGGGTTGTTTTTTACAACTTATAAGTTCACAATTAGCTAATGTTATAATATATTCTAAATTTACAAATTATTTTATAAATAAACGTTTCAAACGTCACCTAAAAGCCTGATAAATATATATTTTAGTGATTTTATTAGTTTAAGGGTGTCTGACAAATAAATAACGCAAGAAATTATTTTGTTATCTGATAATAAATCTTCATAAAACTGATAACGCTTTTGTTTATGGTATTTGATAATCACGATTAAATTAATCAATGCATATTACGGACGTATTTATTTAAATTTCTAGGGAATAATTAATATTCTATCGAATAAATATACAAGATAATTTGATCTTTCGTTCAAGAGACTAATTAAGAAAGTTCATTTCAAATTGATGCAAACAGTTCCCATAACAATAATAATAATAATATTAATAATAATAATAACATTCACAGTAAAATACACAAAGCTCGATTATCATGAAAATTATTGATTTCTTTTAATCTTATAATGAGATTGAAATTCGAATCGATATCAAAAATTAATTTTCCCAATGTATTCACCGATTTAAATGGGAATTAAATGTTTTAATAATTTTATTCTTTAATGTCAACATTCGAGTTTTTAATTTGCATTCTTCAACGATTCCAGACTGGATATTTTTGTCGATTTCAAAAATTAACATTTTTTATGTACATAGGTAAATTAAAAATAAATTCTACGATTAGCAGACAAGTTAAGAACCATTTATTCATTTAATCAATTATTTATAAACTTTTCAATAAAATAATTAATCAGTCAAAGATTTTTCTGTGTACGTACAAAAACTGAAAATTTTATTTCATTGCTTTATTTATTTAAATATTCTAATTTTTGCAGCAGTTTTTTAATAATACATTAGCAATATATGAACAATCATAACGTTTCTCAGTTGCAATCAATAAAAAGCTTTAATAAATACATTTCTATTCTTCGTAAAAATAGTATTATTACCTTCCAAAATAATACTGAAATATAGAAATCCTAGAATAACACAGTTGATTAACTTCATGTGATTTATACCGAAAACCATCGCCATTGTTCATCGAACATTTTTTCTTCTTTTTTTTTAATTTCATGATACAGCTTGTGCGTTCTATGGAAAATCAATAGCAATACTCGTATCTTCGATTGAAAATAAATATCGCATGGTACTCCATATAATATTGCGTACAGTAGTCTCTCGTTATATTGCCGTCAAACGATGAAATGAGCTTTCAGTTTTTAAATTTTCATATTTTCAAATTTCACGGATTAGCATATTAGCAACTTTTCAAAGATTGGAAAATTTTCAAATCTTCAAATTTGCAGATTTTTGCCAAATTCCCATGTTTCTACATTTCTCAAATTCCTAAACTCGTGACTTTTCAAATTTTCCACTTGTCGAAATTTTCCAAATTCTAAAATTTCCCAAAGTTCCAAATTACCAAATTAATTTCTCAGATTATCAAATTCCTCGTTTTCCAAAACATCAAATTTCTCAAACGCCCGAATTGAAAACTTCGTCCACTCGTGACTAAATTTAAAACTTCCCAACCTGCTCAAATTTAACTTTCCACCTAAAAAATTCCTCGTTTGTGAAATTTAATGCCTCCCAAAGTGGCAAATTCGAGTTTCTAAATTTCTAAACGTACGAGCCATAACCGAACGAGTAGATGCTCTTTCAGCGTCGGTTTCCCCTGGGAAGCCTGCAGAATGCACACCGGTGTACAAGAATTTCATAGCGTACTATTTCGCCTATCATATTACAAGAGAGTGCAGCAAACACGTTCTGATTCATACAACATTCAGTTATCTGTTTGAGAAGTCTAACCAATCCGTTTACGCGTTACAGTAGCGTCGTGACGCCGAGATCGACGACCGTAACGACCCAAACAACAACCACGGAGATGACGGATCCACCTCCTCGGCCTCCACCCGATGTACCGATGTACCCGATGCCGACCCCGCCGAAGAACAACAACAACAAGAGGATAACATCGGAAGCGGCAGAGAACGCGGCTCTGATAATCGGCATCATAGCCGCGGCATTGATCGCGATCGTCCTCATCATCCTGATCATCCTGAAGTTCAAGAACCGTCCGGAGACCAGCTACAAGGTCGACGAGACGAAGAACTTCTGCCAGGACCCGAACGCTGCGCTGCTCGGGGCAGCCGGCTCCGGGCAGCCCTTCAATGGCGCCCTGAAGAACGGCGCGAACGGCAGCAAAACCAACAAGAAACGAGAACTGATAGACATCAAAGAGTGGTACGTGTAGAGATGGCCCGTCTTCGAATCGCACTGCTTGAACCTCGTGTCCAGATTTAAGTCCAAGAACTCGAGGAGACCGGTCGGTCTTGTGTTAAGTCGGTGCTGTGTTGGTTAATTAATGTTTGGACGTTAACGGTGCTGCTCGCGGACTAACGATGTGCATCGAGCGCGGCTACCGTTATTCGAGATGGCCGTCGGAGACGAAACATATCGGGAGAAGACCGGTTGAAGAAGTTCGTGGGCCAAGACTGAAACGTGAACACGCGTGAATCCTCTTGAAGACGCGTCTGAACACCGGTGGATCTTGAACATGGCGGTTGAGTCTCAATGAACGTAGCGAGCTGAATCCTTGAAATACGGCCGCGTCCTCCTGAAGAGAGTGAACTCTCGCGCCGGACCTCGAATCAAGTGAAATCAAACTTCTTCCTTGTTGCTATGTATTGTTAGTTGTGTATTATATTCATTGTATATGAAAGATTTATTATCACTACGATAGCGTTCACGTGCATGGATCCTTCTTTAGGTCACGTTGCCGATGCTCTCCCGGCGAGGAATTCTAGACACAATTTCGCGCCGTATTTCGAGGGTCGAACGTGCTTCGAACACGGTTATGTGTGCGTGAGAGGCGAGCAAGTGTTGAAACTAAAAATGGACGAAAGTATCACACGAACCGATGATCCTATCTAGCGTTTAACGAAGTCATTGTTGTATAGAAGAAAAGAGATCCCCCGCCCCCTACCCTCAAATGAAATAAACACACAACACACAGAAAATATACATACGCGATATTTATCGATTATGTTATGCGTGTAAATTGTTTATCAAATTATAGATTTTATTAACACAACATCGGAGGAGAGTTGAGTGTACGTGTTACGTGTGTGTGCATGTGGGTGCAGCGTGAAAGGGGCGTCCGCGTTGGTTTCAAATGTGACGACACGTTGGTGTTATTATTAATCGTAAGTTATAACACGTCCTTACGGGCCGTGCGGTAAGAGTAATTTAAACCGATGAACGCTGTCGAGTAGATGACACGTAGACATATGCAGAGATTGCTTACACGTATACACAGGGTGCGAACGTATTGCCAAAAACGAGCGACCTTTCACCGGTCACCTTTAACCCTTTCGCGTACCATTATGTCCCCTTCGTTTTCAACCCCTTTCGTATCTTTTATTATGTATTCGGTGCTTATTTGCTGTACACTCGGGTGCAACGTGGGCTAAAAATGTCAAACATTCTGGGATCCTAGAAATATTCTGAGAGCCTAGGAATATTTTAAGGAGAGCCTATTCTACGGAGGAATACTCTAAGAAAAATTCTAAAGAATATTCTAGGAAAATTTACGATTAGAAATTGGGGAATCTAGACCTAACCTCAACTTTATCTACACTCTCGTATAGTTGACCGTTGCACCTAACTGTACCATTAGTGATGGACAACTGTGTATACCAGTGTTGTGAATTCCTGTGCGGGCACTTCTGCCCATCACTAACGATAAGAGATATACAGGACCTTTCAAGTTCTCCTTGACAAAATGCGGGGGTTTATAAAATAGGAAATAATGTTATAAACGTTTTATTATAAAGTCACAGATAAATAATCTTCTGTATTTTATCTATACATCAAAACAAACATAATTTTAACTTATGTTGTATAGATTTTTTATAAACAAATTTTCTAATTTTAAATTTGATAAGCAAACCTTACAAATGATCAAGTTAAATTATTGTACAACGTCTACGTATGTATATTTTATGGTAAAATGGTAAAATGTACACGTTGCACATGTGAGATGAAATAATGTACATATGTACAATGTGACAGGGAATTCATGATAGAAATTTGATATGTTACTTTAAAATTATCCGGGTGTAACAATATCGTTAAATTCTACATCCTTTGATCTTTATGTGATACTGTAAAAGGATAGATTTATGCAGCGGTAATTTTATATGACGAAGTGCAAAGAATTAATAACAGGAGAAAGATGGGATAATTGATCACAGTTCTTCGTTGAATTTTGTATTTGATGTTTCGTTATTTTCATAATGATGAAGTTGTAATTACGAAACATTATCTGTGAGTAGAAATTATCTTCCTAAATTGAGAGTTTAAGTTAGGATTTCATATGAAATAATAAAAAATAATTAACTTTTAACCTTTTACTTTAGACAAACAGCTGCAAAATTATTTTTAAAATATAAAACATATTGGTAATGTATTAATATCTCTGTGATCATGTATCCCTTCTAATCAATTATTTCTTCGCTCCCCTAATTAAAACTCAGCAAACTTTCCGGGAACCTATAATTAGTATGTATAATAAATTCTGTGTAATATCGATATCAAAATTGCGTACGTGTACAAGAATCATATTTTCAAATGTGACTAACAATAATAACAATAAGTAATAGTCCTTTTATGATAATAATTACCATAAGTTACTGAATAATGAACACGTTACACCAAAGATGATCATGAAACTTATATTTAAACATTTATAAGTCTATTTTGAAACATTTCGTATAGAAATCCACGCATTTTGTCGAGAAACTTGATCCTGTACTTTCTTTTTCCACGAATGTAAATTTGAAACGAAAATCGAAATTTTGGTGGTAGAAAGGGTGTAAAGGGTTGATTATACCGGCGCTTAACACGAGATATCGCGAATATTCGAAGCTGTTTTTTTATGGCTCCGTCTTCTGCCCGTTAGAAAATTGTCTGGAGGCTTCCTTCAAACTTATGAAACACCGATAAGCTTGCATCGAACAGAGCTTCCTGTAAAATCGACGAATTATCAGTGAAATGTTACATATATTTTCGTATCACCCTGCTCGATGTATCCTCTGATTTTCGACGAGGATCGAAACTGGTGCTGACTTCTTCATACCTGTGTTGCGTTTTTATATAAAATAATTTCATTATTGTTTCTAATATTTAGCTATGTAATTTTTTATGATTGATATAGTTTCTGATGCTTTGGGAGTTCTATTGTAGGTCTAGTGTTTTCAGGGCTATCTGATACATTTTGAAAGACTTTGTAGTCTTTTTTTTCTAATTTTTACATAATTTTTAGATTCTCAAATTCAAAAATTACCATGTAACTAAATAACCAAATATTATTACCAAATTAGCGAAGATCAAAATAATTAAAAATATAAAATAATTAAATAACCAAATGACCAAATTACCAAAGATCAAAATTTCCAAATTGCTAAATAATAATTGTAGAAAATAGAAAATGCAGAAAATAGGCTTTTTAAAAGATCTACGATAGAATGACCCCTTAAATACAAAAAGAAAAATACCACACAAAAATGTACAGTTTGCCTCGGAAATATAGTGTGGTTGTAAATTATACGTATGTACTAATGTAACCACGTTCAGGACCGTATTTTAAGCTTCTTCCTTTAAGCATATAAAGTTACACCCTTAAATTAAATTATAATTTCAAGTTTCAGTACTTGAAGTCCTCCTTTGTATTTGCTTAGAAAAATCTAAAAAATTTGCTTAGAAACCTAAGAAATCTAACTAAGAAGTTCTTGTGGCAATAAAAAAGGCACAGGTACAGCGAAGAGCAGCACTGGTCCAAAAAAAGATCGTCAAATATAAAAACTGTACGCGTGTCTGTCTAGAATAGCTCCTCAGTAATTGTTATCGCTATTTCAAAGATCGTTGCAATGAAAACCAGACGAGTTCCCCAAATTTCTGTACAGATTCCTTTGAAGGGACCGACTCGTTAGCGAATGCTTTCCATCTTCGCGTCGTCCATTTTGTAATCGAAAGCAGTTCGCGGTAAAGCAATATGGCGGGTGGACCGCGAAATTAACGGGAGTCCATTGTAGTTAGGCTAATTTAGGACGGTGTTTCCTACGATTCTTCGTAGACGAATTTGGAGAATTTCAACGTAGACGAGAAACAAAGAAATTCTTTGTGGAAACAAAACTGTGGACGAACTCAACACTGCGCGTGCACAAAATGCTTTTCGTTCAAGATATCAAGATATTCGTTTTAAAAAAATACTCTTATAGCTTTCGTTCTTATTGAGAACATAAGGTTTATTATACTCGTATATGAATTTATAGACTACTGTGATTTCATTCGAATGTACATATAAATTCAAAAAGGTTTGAATGTTTTAAATATTTTATAAGATTAGTAGTCGGCGTTCCTCGAACCTTGGGATGGATCTAGAGGCAACGGGTGCGCGACACTGGGGTCACAGAGACCCCAAAAAAATGAGAAATGGGATGAGATGAGAAAGGAGATTTATTCTGATGTGTTAAGGTTGATTTATTCAATCTTCTTTAATTTGTTTCATTTGTTTTTGGTATTTTATGTTTAAAGAATTTATTTGCAGAAATATAATATTGCAGATTTTTAATATTTTAAAAAATTACAACAAGAAGTTGTACAATACATTCTATTGTAATTATACAAGATTGATAATACTTTTTTCACTTATAGAAGATAACAAATATTTCTTCAATTATAAAAAATGAAAGGTATTTTTTCAGTTATGTTTGAAGAAAAATATTTGTAATATTTTAAATATTTCTAAATATACTTCTTTTCAGTAATTTTGTGAATTTTGAAATTCATGCTAGTCTACGTTCAAAGTATAAGAATTGTACTTTGTTAATTACTAATATTATTAATTTTAGTTTATATCATTCTGCCATTTACAACAAAATACAACAAGGGAATATCACTAAATGTGTGAAGGTAATTGACACATTGTCAATATTTAAAATATTGACAAGACGATTTAACGAATATCAATTTATTTTTAATATCAACAATAAATGTTTATTATCTGAAAGACGTCAATACACATATCGATTAGACGTCACTCATTTGAATTTATTGTGCATAAATATTGAACATTTCAACTAAATACATATTAAAAATATTAAGAATATATGATCGTATGAAGAATCCTCTGAAAAATATTTTACAATTTTTTAAATTTTATTTATTTCAGCAAACTTTTCATAATTATTTCAATGCATTCAGTTGCATAAAACAAACTTTAAATTAATATTTTTTAATATTTTAAATTTTATTTATTACGACAAACTTTTAATGATTGTGTCATTCTATCCATGTGTTATAAAATAATTTTGAAAACATTTTTATAAAACTCAGAATTGTCATAGTTAACGTAAATCTAAAAATTTGTGTGCAATACAGGGCTGTCTTCTTCATAAAAGAACCCAAGTACAAAAATTACTTTCAAATCTCAAATTTGTTCAAAGTTCAAAAAAATAACATTTTTTCTTAAAAGTGTCTGAAAGAAGAAAATGAAGAAATACGAACAAATAAAAATTTACATGCTTAAATATGATCAATTATATGTATAATTTTTGTTCATGTTCAAATGTGATTGATTATATAATTTTTGTTCATGTTCAAATATGACTGATTATATCATTTTTGTTCATATTCAAATATGACTGATTACATCATTTTTGTTCATGTTAAAATATGAACAATTACATAACTTTTTTCATATTTAAATTAAAGAAGTGAGGATAAAAATTTGCTAATTTCGAAGCTCGAAACTGTTGCTTGTTTCGAGGTAATACTGTATCTCCTTTCTTTCTTAATTTATCTTTTTTTGTTTCTGTGAAACTCATCTATCTAGAGACCCCAGTGTCTTGCACCCGCAACACCCGGCCCTAACATATCAACGTTAAACCAAAAGGGTTAATAAAACCCGTCAAAAAATAAATCATGCATCAAACCAAAGGCAAAATACACAAAGACGAAGTACTGTTTAAAATATGCGGACTTTATCACGAAAAAGATGAACAGATCGTCCAAATATACAGGGTGGATCAAAATTAAGTAAACGATCTTAATTTCGTATTTTGCGCGTGTATAATACAAAAGTGACCTCAAGAATAAAAGATGTCCAACGTTTCCCCAGAAATGTGTCGGACACTAAATTGTACTGTTGAACGTTGCTTTGAGTGCATTAATGGCGGTCGAGACTCTGTATAGCGAAATGCTTTCTCTCAAATAACAAATAGTAATTTTGTTCACCTAATTTTGACTCACCCTATACTTCGAGGAGCGTCGTGCGTAAATTTTTGAAACTTCTAGAAACTTCGTCCAACTTCCTGTTCGATTTTGCTTCTCGTCATTAACTAACTCGAGACACAGGCTCGCTAACGAGCGGACTCGTTCGTCGTAATCGTTGCAATTCGCGTTTCCTGCGACTCTACGAGACTTTTATCGCCGTTAGTTCAATTAACAAATTTGAAATTTTCAATGATAATCCTTCTCTAATAGTTCTCCATCGAAATTACGGACTCGAACGGGTCTCTCAGACACGCTGTTTTTCCTCGCGATCTTTCATCGTTCAAAGACTATAGCTATCGGACTTTTATTCCAACTATTTACCTATATCGCTTTTAAGTCTTTCGAGCTTCTCTGTCTTGAAATTTAATAAGAAATTCTTCCCTCTTTAACGTACACTTCGATGGATTCGAATAGCTTCAGATATTCAATTAAAGATGCGACATATCGAAAATGAATTATGACGGTGGTGGAAAAATGCTAGGGGTGCTGGACATGGATTCATATAATAGACTGTTGGTATATTGCCCTGAATTTGCAGACGTGAAATATTCTTTAAATAAGCGATAATTCATTTCAAGATTTGTTTGAAAACTTCTGCGATGAATTTTTAAATTTCAGAATAAAATTTTCAAGTTTGGAAATTTCTTCAAATTTGTCTTGAAGTTTCAAATGTCTTCAAACTTGTTAAATTTTGAATGTTCAAATTTCGAAATTACACATAAATTGTTTTCAAATTTCTAAATTCCTAAATTTTTTAATTTAGAAAGAAGACTTAACTATTTTCAGATTTATAAATTTTCAAAAATGTAAACTGATTGTATAAAAACTTGAAAATTCGGACAACAATTTGTCGTTTTTAAAATTTATAGATTTGAAAAATTGAAGAAATGAAGATTTTTGAAATTCTGTAATTTATAAATTTAATTTATAATAGAAACAATTTATGTTTAAAAATTTTCTAAATTATAAACCATTGAATTTTTTAATTTATAAATCACAAGTCAATAAATGTGTAAATCTCCAAATTTGCAAATTCAAAGTATAATAATATACAAACTTGCAAATTAAGAAGATTAAAAATTTACAAAAATTTTCAAGTTAACAAATTTTTAAATATGTAAATTTGCAAATTTAAGAATAAACAAATTTACACATTCAAAAGTCTCAAAATAAATTTTCAAATGTAAAAGTTTAAAGATATATAAAATTGCAAATTTTTAAATTTAAAATTATACAAACTTGCAAATTTTTAAATTTAAAAATGTACAAATTTATAAATTAAAAAATTTAAGAATACTCTGCAAATTTAATCAAAAGTTGCACAAATTAAAAATTCCAATTTTTGAGACATACATAAACCTCTAAAAAAAACTCGCTGAACCAGCAATGTAAATAGTGGCAATATATCAAGACTCTACTATAGAACCTTACAAAAGTCATCTTCAGTGCCCATAAATTCTCCACTGTACACCCCAACAATCAGCCCATCACTGAATGACACAAACGTTCTTACTCGTACAATACAAAAATACAAAAAAGACGAAGAATCTTATCAAGACGCACTTTCGATAACGTCGCAATACGGCTCTCAGGGAAGCACAATTAAAGCGATTCAATCAATGAAAACTCCGCAGTCTGAAACTGACAACGCTCTAACATTAATATCAGATCAAACCCGATTCCAATACTTCAAAATGAAGAAATCGACGAATCGAAAGAAGACGTCGACATTAAAAAAAAAAAGTGAATCAAATTTTGTGTATTTCAAGTTCAAACACACGTGTCGAGGTACATATGTGTTGTGTTCAGTGGTCACAAACGATTAAACGATCCTTGAAGAAATTCTTCGATTTTAGAATAACCGAGACAAAGAAACACGTGTGACATTTTGTTGAGACGTATCGAACTCTGTATCTTAAAATCGCACAAGAGCTTGATGGATCCACACGTAGCACGAGTTTCGCCGATTTGTAAATCGATGCCACGAGTGTTCGTCTCCAGGCGACTTTTTCGCTTTGTTTCTTTCCTTCTCGTTTTTCTATCGAACTATCTGATCGACGTGCATTGACATAACTAGACAATATAACGAGTTGTACAACGCGTAACGATCTAACGTGTCGTTAATGGATGGGAATTTAACGCGAGATAAACGTGAGGTAGCTCGTGGTGATTTAACAGGTAGTTATTTAACAGGTGGTAATGTAAGGTGTGGTGAAGTGATACGCGGTGATGTAAATCTTACATTGTAAGGCATGGTGAACAACGTGTGGTGCATCCTTTGAGGATCTAACGTGAGATAAATTAACATGAGGTAGCTTAACACGTGGTGATCTACTAACGCTGATCTGACAGGTAGTAATTTAACGGGTATTAATTCAACGGGTGGTAAGACAACGCGTGATAATGTAATAAGTGTGGTAATTGAACGCGTAGTAATCGAACGCGTGGTAATCTAACGGGTAGGAATAAAACGAGTGATAATCTAACAGGTGGTAATCGTGTGGTAAACTAATGTGTAGGAATAGGAATGATAATCTAACGGATGGTATTTCATTGTGAGGTAATGTAACGGGTGGTATACTATTGTGTGGTAATCTAACAGGTGGTATTCTATCGCGTAGTAATCTGACGGTTGATATTCTATCGTGTGGTAATTCAACGGGTGGTATTCTATTGCGTGGTAATCTAACGGGTGGTATTCTATCGTGTGGTAATCCATCGCGTGGTAATCTAGCATGTGATATTCTAACACGTGGTAATTTATCGCGCGGTAATCTAACGGGTGGTACTCCACCGTATAGTAATCCATCGCGTGGTAATCTAACATGTGATAATCTGTCACGTGGTAATCTAACGGGTGGTATCCTATTACGTGGTAATCTAACGGGTGGTATTCTGTTGCGTGGTATTCTGTCGCGTGGTAATCTAACGGGTGGTAATCTATCGCGTGGTAATCTAACGGGTGGTAATCTATGCGTGGTAATTTAACGGGTGGTAATCTATTGCGTGGTATTCTATCGCATGGTAATCTTACGGGTAGTATTCTGCTGCGTGGTACTCTGTCGCGTGGTAATCTAACGGGTGGTATTCTGTCGCGTGGTAATCTAACGGGTGGTAATTTATCGCGTGGTAATCTAACGGGTGGTAATCTATCGCGTGGTAATCTAACGGGTGGTAATCTATTGCGTGGAATTCTATCGCGTGGTAATCTATCGCGTGCTGATCTATCGCGTAGTAATCCACCACGTGGTAATCTAACGCGTGATAGTCTCTCATGTGGGTATCTACCACGTGGTAATCTAACGCGTGATAATCTGTCATATGGTTATCTAATGTGTGGTAAATCAAACATATAATATCCTAACGCATAGTGATGTAACACGTGGTGATCCAACGCATAGTAATCTGACGGATGGTAACACAACACGTAACCTAACGCTTGGTAATGTAGCAGTCAGTTATCTAACGCCCCGTTATACAACGCGCAGCTATCCAACGTGTATCTATCTACCGCGCAACTATCCAACGTGTATCTATCACATCGCTGTACAACGCAATCCATTACCTCGCCCTGGCAATCTAAAACCAGCCCATGAAATACAGATTCTAGTTATGTCAATGTGAACACGATCGCCAATTAATTACACACCGACGCTTAAAAAAAATAGCACAATAATCTTTGCTCCTGGACTCGAAGTCTTTATCCATCGAGAATCATTCGTAGGCTATAAAACGATAAGTCGATGTGGATTTTTTGTAATATTTACGTGGCTAAAGTTGTGCGGGCAGTCTTAACGATATCGCTGTAATCACACACGCAATCGACGAATCCGTTTAAAATAGGCCCCGTGAAAAATCGACGTTGTTATCAAGTGAAGTGAAAACGCAGAGGGTTCGAATTTTGCAATAATTGTAAAATCGATGAAAGTATAAAGGGTATTCGTTGGGAGATTTTTATCGTTTCGTGTCGTTTGCGTAGAACTTGGAAAACATATCTTTGAGGTCATTAACGAATTTGCTTGATCAGAGACGTTGATATTTATTTTTTATGTGTATTTGCAGTTCGTGTGGTGTCATTAAACATTATTGATTGACTTTTAAAAGTGATGAATTATATTATTCTGCATTGAAGTCTTGTTCTTGTTGCAGAAAATTTATTTACTGCCGGATTTATTTATTTAAAATATCGAATTTTTGAACGAGTAAGGAGCCACGAAAACGTTTTTTATTTCTTTTTCGAGAGTTGTTTTCTAAATCTCCAATTTATCCTCTTTCCATATTTATTGTAAAAATATGACAAGTTTTCGGTGAAATTACAACCATAATGTTAAATTCAAAATACTCAGTATATATTTTAATAAATATCTTCTTTTTACCGAATACATCGAGAGATTACAACTTTTATCCGTGAAGATAAATTATACAATTTCGTAAAAAAAGTTAAGATTATACTTAAAACAGAAACATCGCCCCAAAAATATTCAACCTTTTTTATACTATTTTTATTTTCCAAAACAAAGGAAAGTAAAGAAGAATTGTGCTACAAAATCCATGCTGAAAATACAAAAAGTGTTCAAAACGAAAGTTAAATAGGGTACAAATATATATTCTCTCCGAATTAGTCAAAATATAAAAATCATTTTTTTTAATCCAACAAGAAAATTCAATGAAGTAAGAATAATTTCCCCTTTGTATTTCTCACCAAAGTGTCCACAGAAACTTCTATCTTTTACGGTTAATTGTTATTATAAATGCAACTTATAAATTTTACGATCAATAACTCTTTAACCCTTTCGTTATAAAAATTATAATATATTTACTCTAAAAACATTTTAATTTAAAGGAAAAATACTCTCGATATATTGCCACGAATGGGGTTGTAAAGTTATTGAAATTGGCAGTATAGAAAGATTTCTTCTGAATTAAAAAATTGATAAATTTCTTAAATTGAAATTTTATAAAATTTGCAAATTTATTGGAAAATTTCGTAATCTTTTTTGTTTGAAAATTTAATAATTCGCAAACTGAAAAATTAGGCAATTTTTAAATTTTAAAACTTCTTTTATAGTTCAGAAAATTTTATAATATGAGTTCTTTTATTTATAAATTTTCAAGGAACAAAAATATTTTCTGAGAGCGTGAAAATAAATATTTATTTTGAAGTTCAGTTGAATTTCGTGTACAATAAAATCGTAACGAAAGGGTTAATAAGATCGACAATATTTCCAATATAACGAGATAAAACAGACGAGTACTATAAAAAAGAACGCAACCTATTCTAATCCAAACGAGAAACGCGAACATATTGTTATCACTGCCCTCCAAACTCTCTATCTGCATATCCTTCGATGTACTGACGACTAATGTTTATACTAAATTAATTAACTTCTAATACGATATCTTACCGAGCAAAATGTTACTCTACTAATTAACGTAACGCATTAAATCTTGAACTTAAGTGTGTCGCGAGTAACATCCTACCTAAAACTAAACTATGTACATATATACGTAGTGCGGCAATGAAGAAAGTGTCTGTTAGAGAGAAAGAAAATAAAGAAATCCGATAAAGGAGTAAAGACAAGTATAATGAATGTGTATGAACGTGTACAGGCGAAACAGAGATAGCGAATCGAAAGTTAATACGCAGACGAAAAATGAAAAGAATAAAAAAATAAGCTCACACAATTGTATCTAGAAGTTGCTATAGCTAGATGGAATTATATTTTACATTGTACAGTCTATACGTATGGACGCACTAAACCTATTAAATTATAGATAGTAAAACATGATTGTGAACTGAAGGGAAATGCAAGGAAGAACAACTAGTATGGTGGCGATTTATCTTTCGGGAACTTTAGATCGAGCGAATATTTTTCTTCATTTATACGTCTCGATTTTTATGCTGGCAGATGTAGGCTTTCTTTCGAATCGTGAATATTTCTGCATTTGTAAATTTCAAAACTTCCCTGTTTCACAGCTTTTGTAGTTTCTTCTTCGATTCGAAAATCTTCAAATTTTTTAATTTTTAAGTTTCTAAAATTCTAAGTTAAAATTTCTTAACTTATAAATTATGAAATATTTACCTGAATTTTTAAGTTTCGAAATTTCTATTGTATGTATAGAAAAATACCTACACTTCACAATTTTGTTAATCTCTACATTTGTAAATTTAAAAATTTGAAAATTGTTGAGTTATTTAGTAATTTCTGAATTACATTTACATATCTAAACTTGATTATTTACAAGTTTCTATATTTATAAATTTTTAATAGATTGAAATCTTCATTAACAAATTATTAAAATATAAAATTAAATAAATTAGAAAGTTTATAAAAATAAATTAGAAAATTAGTAAATTAAATTTTAAAGTTTGTAAGCCTACCATGGTTGCCAGTGTACGTACACGATATATGCACATATACTTATTGTATATGTGCATACATATGTGCGTACAGTTGAATTCGAGCGCGTATAATGAAAATCGTATTAATCCTTCTTGGATAAAGTGATCTTTCCTGGTAAGAGAGCGATCGAATCGAAACTTGACGGATTTTTAATGAACGGATTACGTATGAGCGAAATATGAAATACGAGTGTAGCATAAAGTGATGCATTTAGATTTTTTACACGTCAAAGCGAAACCTCCTATGCCGTTTCGTTAGTATTCCGAATTTATAAAGCGCGCAAGTCTTCGATGCCATGAAAACACCACGATCCACGCAAACAATTCGCAATTTCTTTTAATTTGTCGCGTAGCATTTTACGTCTTACAGGACACATGTGAAAGGAGCGAGAATAAAATTTAAATCAAGCGGAAGAATGAAAATACATTGTACAACGTATACACACGTGTGCGCACGCGCGCGCACATATACACGAACACACCTACGCATACAGGACATACAATAAGTAATATGGTAGTGCGCGCACAATGACGCATTACGAGATATCTTGAACAATTGGAAACATGTAAATACATAGACATAATGCCGTAATTACAAAATTATATGAATAAAGTATTGAAAATGTACATGAACCTGTGTCCGTTCCTTTTCAACTATTAGTATAATGAAGACTAATTTAGTCTTCGTACGATTAATTTTACGCATGTCTAAAATTTAATTGAAGTCCTACTGCGCAGACTCCACTATCTTTACCGCCAATCTGACAACAGGCATTAGCAGAATTAGCTCAGTTTCTATAGAATTCTTACATTCGCTTTTCACATCTTTCTTATTACTTTTAAAATAGCTGATTATACGTTTTACATTTCTCAAAACATACAGATTAATACTGTCAAAGAGTTTTATATTATCCGCTAAAGTTTGGTCTATTCTTTTCACGCATTTCAAATGCAATTTTGAACGCGCCTTTAATGTTGAAACATGGAGGTTATGTTTACTAATAAACACTAAAAAATGAGATGAAGAGTGATGAGAGTGTTATCTGCCTTCGATAACAGAAAAATAAGAGCAAAATGAGAGAGCATTAGTCAGTGTTCATACATGAACTGTATTCAACAACTTATCTGTTAATATTAGTAAATTGTTAAGATCAGAACAGTCATTGCGGAGGTTAACTATATTCTATAGTAATTAAAGAATAGTTCAGTTAAAAGTTTGCTAGTAATATTTAGTTTCCTTTACAAAAAACTAAATTCAGCCGTTATAAACTATTTGTGTTTCATAATATTTTATAATTGTATAGAAGAATTACTTTATTGTTGAAACAATGCCGGATATTAAAGTTACACCTCTGGGAGCTGGTCAGGATGTTGGAAGAAGTTGTATACTAGTTTCAATGGGTGGAAAGAATATTATGTTAGATTGTGGTATGCACATGGGTTTCAATGATGAACGACGCTTCCCAGATTTTTCATATATAGTTCCAGAAGGTCCAGCAACTAATTATATTGATTGTGTGATCATTTCGCACTTTCATTTAGATCATTGCGGTGCTTTACCATATTTTACAGAAATGGTAAATAAATTATGGAAAAATAAAAATTTTAAATTACAGGTTCAAAACATATGCTTATAAGTAATTTTATATTCAGGTAGGTTATACAGGTCCAATTTATATGACACATCCAACAAAAGCTATTGCTCCTATATTACTTGAAGATATGAGAAAAGTTGCAGTGGAACGTAAAGGAGAGAGTAATTTCTTCACTTCACAAATGATAAAAGATTGTATGAAAAAAGTTATAGCTGTTACATTGCATCAATCTGTAATGGTTGATTCAGAACTGGAAATAAAAGCGTATTATGCAGGACATGTGCTGGGTGCTGCAATGTTTTGGATTCGTGTTGGTTCACAATCAATTGTATATACTGGTGACTATAATATGACTCCTGATAGACATTTAGGTGCTGCATGGATAGATAAATGCAGGCCAGACTTATTGATATCAGAATCAACATATGCTACAACTATTAGAGATTCCAAAAGATGTAGGGAAAGAGATTTCTTAAAAAAAGTATGTTTGAACAATTGTTTAATAATTATTATTAAACTTTATCTATGACGTATATAAATATAAATTTCATCTATGCAAAAATCATGTTTGCAGGTTCATGAATGTATAGACAGGGGCGGAAAGGTATTAATTCCAGTATTTGCTCTTGGACGTGCACAAGAACTTTGCATATTATTAGAAACATATTGGGAACGAATGAATTTAAAAGTTCCTGTATATTTTGCTCTAGGTTTGACAGAAAAAGCTAATAATTACTATAAAATGTTTATTACTTGGACCAATCAAAAAATTAAGAAAACTTTTGTACAGAGAAATATGTTTGATTTCAAACACATAAAACCATTTGACAAAGCATATATCGATAATCCTGGAGCTATGGTAGTATTTGCTACCCCAGGTATGTTACATGCAGGACTATCTTTACAAATTTTCAAAAAGTGGGCTCCAAATGAAGCAAATATGGTTATCATGCCTGGATTCTGTGTCCAAGGCACTGTCGGTCATAAAGTTTTGAATGGTTCCAGAAGAATTGAATTTGAAAATCGACAAATCGTAGAAGTTAAAATGGCGGTAGAATACATGTCCTTCTCTGCACACGCGGATGCAAAAGGTATCATGCAATTGATACAATATTGTGAACCTAAAAATGTTATGTTGGTACATGGAGAATTTGCTAAAATGGAATTCCTTAAAGAAAAAATAAAACAAGAATTTGGAACCAATTGTTACAATCCTGCAAATGGGGAAACTTGCGTTATCACAACTATTTCCAAAGTACCAGTTGATGCTTCTTTAGCATTATTAAAAGCTGAAGCAAAAAGATATTCAGCTTTGCCGCCAGATCCTAAAAGGCGAAGGTTACTTCACAGTATTTTAATGTTACGAGAGGATGGAGCCTGTCTAGTGGATGCGGACGAGGTATTTATTACGTTTCATTTAATTAATATATATATAATCATAAGTGTTCTTTTTTTAAGGTGACAAAAGCGGCAGGTATAACGAAACATGTAGTACGTTTTACATCTACTGTTCAAGTTAGGGATCCTGGTCCAGCACATTCAACAACCTTAAAATTATTGCAACCATTGAAAGAAAGATTATCAGGTTGGACCGTTCAACTAACAGATGGATCAATATCTGTTGAATCTGTTTTAGTAAAAGTAGAAGGTGATGAAGATGATCAAAAAAGTGTGTATGTATCATGGACAAATCAAGATGAAGATTTAGGTAGTTACATTTTAGGATTTTTACAAACTATGTTGAATTAAGTACTTAACTGTTAAACATTAAACCTCAAAATATGCTTATAACCTGTGATACTGATGCAGTGAATACATATTATTTTTATAATAACAAGAAAGTCAGTAACTAATAAAAAAAAAATCACAAACCTAATATACTAAACAATATTAACTTGTCTTCACTCACGTACAAGTTACACAAAAATAAATTGTAAATTTTTTTAAAAATGTATATATACAATAAAATGATAATACATACGTAATTTTAATGTTATTATTGCTATATACATGTTTAATGATCTTTTTGGACCGATTTTAATTCTTCACAGTAAAAAAATAAGTACACTGCAATAATATTTAAAACATTTTTATTTTGATTTATAGTAAGGAAACATATATGTATAGGTATATCCCTTGCATTCTTCGTAAGTAATATTGCTTATATAACACCTGATATTTTATATGTACCCGTTTTGTAAAACTGTCTTTTTAGGAATTACACTATAAAAGAAAAAGAAACTAAAATAAACCATAAATACTTGTAATTATTATGTCTAATAAAAAACCTTTATTTTTTTTTGTTTTAATTTTCGGATTAAAGTGTGATTAAATAACTTACATAATTTGCTACAATTACAAATTATTGATTAAACTTATATATTATCTAACGTCAAATAAAACAATAAACTTTCTATTAACTGTATGTAATAATCCAAATGTAAAACATAAGTACAGTATTCAGCATAATATTTTTGCAAAATAAACGATATAATTATACTTCACGAAACAATATATCTAGTACACTATAAATTAGAGTATTGTTACTTTCTTCAACATTCTGTAACATAACACTGTAATAAAAATTATAATTCTTTTATAAAATAAACTAACATAAAAACTTTAATAAACGCTCTTTTAAATGCCCCAATTGTATTTAAATTACTCTATCTTATGATTCCAATTTCGTATATAAAAATCATTTAAACCATCATTTTATTAATATAGCTTATTTACTTTATTATATTTTTGTGTTCAAATGTGCTCCTGAACAAATTTTTTACATTTTCTATAAGTTGTGCATGATTAAGTCTTTTTCTTGATCTTGTAAAATCGATTTGTTCGTCAATTTAAAGTTGCTCCTGCTAGCAGTCTTGAACACACTATTACTTTTTATACATGTGATCACGTGAACACGATCATTTATTGCACATTAATTCATTAACGATTTCAGCTTTGTATACAAATGCTTTAACAATATGAAAATTATCTAAAACTCTGGTGTCTGCTATTTCATTAAGAAAAAAAAAACAAAGGACACTAAAAGTACCTGTTTTATCATTCGTGATTTAAAGTATCGTGCGTTTCATTAAGCGTAACATACGTAAATTTTACTCTATAAATGATATATAATAAATTTCAGATAAAGCGCTACGAAGACTATAGAAACTTATTCATGATTTGTATAACAAAAATAATATTAAAACAATATTATTCATAATGTAATTTACAATACACAATTGCAGCAATTTTTAAATTATTGTAGTTCTTTGTGTTCATCACTTTGTGCAATTACGACAAACACCAGGTTCATTATTTCTTAGTGTCTAGCTACAGAAGTTTCATTATTTATATTTCTTTCCACATAATAAAATATGATACTCTTTTTATACGAAACATAACATTTCATCAGAATATTAGTCTTTTCGATAGCAAAGTTTACCATGTTGATCTATAGTGTTGGAGTATGTGTGATTTTACTTCTATTTCCATAATCAACTGTCTGATTTTGCACTGTATTAACGCAGCTTGCTCTTTGAAGTTATTTTTTTCCTGAACCACCCTGGAAAAAGATGAAACGAATTTACTATTGCACTTAATGTCTGAAAGAGGCTATAAAAATAAAATGTAGTCAAGTTCTTTAACAAATATTCCACCAGATACAAAATTAAATAATTAATTCTTTCAATAAATTAATTATAAATTACGACTTTAATGATTTATATAATCTTTTCATTTTATTAAAGAAACCTAGATTTGAACGTATCTGTTGGAAAAAGTAGTATATTGAACTGATTTTTTGCGTGCTAATTTATACTAATTAATACATTAACGAATATAGCTTTTATTAAATACATTTCTCTTAAAAATAAATTATGAACATAATGAGGACAAATACATAAACTAATATTATAATGTTAGTATCATTTGGAACAAAATCCATCACCAAACATAAAGCAATATTAAAAATAATTCTATGTTAGTTACAAATAATTCTTACATATAAGGGTCACATAAATACATATATATTACTGCAAGCCAAAAACATAAAAATGAAATGAAAAGTGCATTAAATCAATAATATTCATGCTGTTAGAATTAAGAAAAATCTTTCTACTTAACATAAACATAATTGTAGTCAATTACTCTTACTTAGCTATCTCTTTCCATGAATGTAAATCACAGAACATAAATCCAACAGCATAAATTTAATGATATAACAAAGCGAAATAAAATATAATTTGTTATAGAAGCATATTTCATATTAATATTATGGCTGCTAAAACATATGTTAAGTTATATTCAACAATAAGTATATATGTAATCTGTAAAAAAAAGTTAATTAAAACAATAAGAGCAAAAGCTATACAAATTTATTAAAAAAATAATGATATTACTGTGAGAAATTATTAATGATTTAAATTAACAAAAAAATTGTGTAATCATTTTAATAGAGCAAACATAAAACTTTTTCATAGTGTGCCCTTTACCCCAGTGTTTGTGTTTTTAAAATTTAATCCATATGTAGCTATGCATACATCTTTGTACCCATCATCTTCACATAGCTCCTTTCCACGCTGGCAATGTTATATATTTTGTTCTTCTTTGTCAAACTGTTTCTATAACTATACAGAGAATACTGTGTGTTTCTATAAGTGAATAATGATTAAATGAATAACAAAATTATTGGCTTCCTTACTATTTATTATGTAATAGACGTCATTTGAAGTTAAGCTGCAACTAATATATTCCTGTACCTTTATGCGGATAAAATAATACATTAGTGCAGAGATTCCCAAAGTGTGGGTTGCAAGTTAATTTTAGTGGTCTGTGTTAAATATTAAAGTAAAAACAATTTTAGGGGAGTAAAAATTTACACTGTTGTAATATGGAATTTTGAAATGTTGGAACATTAGGATTTGGAATTTTTTAACTTTTTTCTTTAGGACATTAGGATTCTGAGACTCTGGAATTTGGAAAATAATGTATTACAAGTGAGTTGGTCATGAAAAATTGCCATTTTCAAAGGTGGGTCTTGGCCCAGTAAATTTTGGGAAGCCCTGCTTTAGTGTAACTGAGAATGAAACTATATAAAACTGATTTCCCTTATGTGCTGGGACAATCAAAATGCATTATGATAATCAAATAAAGCTAGCATGATCTAAACATTGTGCAACATTTCTGGGGACACACACATTGTAACAGCTTATAACTTAAAACAACTTACAATCAAAAATTGATAAACATTTTTGAAATGTTGAGGAACTTCTTAAATAAAATATATGCATGTGCAAAAAAGAGACCTCTATAATTTATGTATAAATTTGTATAATCTTCATAATTTAAATGAATTCGTTACTAACTTTTAACATTTATATGTTTGAAATACTTTGAAATTATCAATAGGTCAGAAATATAATTTTTTTAATACTAAACTATTATTGTTCACTTCTGAGTAATTTTAACACTATTTATTTCTTTTTCTACAATTTTCAGTAATTGTTCAAAAAATAATACTAGTTGTAAGCAAATAATAAAATAGTGCTTATTAAAATAAGAATGTAACATTTTAATACTACAAAAAATAATGTGTGCAACGTAAATTAATATTTTAAAATAAACCATTGTATTAAAACCTGGCATAAACTGCTAATAGCAGTCTACCATTAACCCTTTCAAAAGAAGAAAAGTTCCAGAATCTCATATCTTGTTTTGCATACCTGCGAATCTGCGCCCTTTTGCCATGGGTTTCTTAGTGGACTGTCGGAACAATCAAAATAACAAAATTGTTATTCATCGTTATAACATAACAGTTTGTACGGCAAAGTAAAGTTTCATATTAATCGTAGAATCATGACGAGCCACTTTCAGCTATTAATTTTAATAACAATTATATTCAACAAAACATTAAATATTCTTTTTCCTCTATAAAACAAACACTGGGACAAAGGGATAAATATGTTATTACAATTTGCACCGAATTTTTTTAAATAAAATTGTGTGAATTGAAAATTATTTTTTTAAAGAATAAAATTATTGATATAGAATTGCATGCTTCCTGCGATACATCCGCTATTCAAAAATTTTTCATTAAAAATAAACTAAAGTAACATAAGCTGTAAATAACATACTTTAGCAATGTCAATTGTAATTGATTAAACATATTAAACATTATAACTATTGTTCACTTTTTACTTTTTTATAAACTCTGTAAATGAACTTATGACATAAATAATATAAAATAGTGTAAAAGTTTTGTAAGTATTTTTACGACAGATCTCTTTTTAATTTAAAGCCAGTATATACATACAAATATAAATTGTAGTTGAATGAACAGCCATAAACAGCCACAATAAATAATAATCGAAATATTCAACACAAGTCTACTATAAAATACTTTTTCAAAATATAAACTACTCAAATGATATTCTGTAATATTGCAACAAAATAGTAAAGTAGGACTCAGAATTATCACAAGGAATTGTTATTATTTTATACGCATGAATTATACATATTAGTAATATAGAAAAATGTCATTATTACTATCTGAATTTGTGTTATTTAAATTAGTGTTCTGAAAACATATTTGATTAAAAAAAAAATTGCTTGTATTCACGGTATAGAATTTCAGAAATATATGAATTTACATACTTTTCTACATCAAAAATTAATATACAAAACAAATACCTCCTTATCCATAAATCAACCAACAAAGTGTAAAGATATGCCTATTAATTAAAATAACACTCTTTGTAATACTGAGTCCAAATAAAAAATACCCCCTATTTTAATAAATAACTGAAATGCACCTATGTAATAATAGAGCCTGTAATTGTTCCTTTTTTTCACAATTTTGAAGTTTACCTTCCTTTTTTTCTTGTGCTTTTTATGCTGCTGGCTCATCAACGGATTCCAGCTAGGCTGTGTGTTGTGATCTGTCATATGACACGATTTGGAGGAGTATTTTGTAGTTAAGGGGCTGTTGTCAATTTCTTGTGGAGACTGAACCAAATTGATGGGCTTGATAATGGAACAATTTGTGAACTCTGTATTCTTGAAAAGAATATTTTCTAATACAGCTATCAAAGTTTGTGCTGCTAAGGGGTGCTGTTATTTTATATACATTATTATTTTACTCTCCATGTATTCTAACAAGCAACGACAATTTACCAAATCTTTTATTTGCGAATTATGAAAAAATTTGCAAAATTGTCGTTGTAGAAGTGGTTAAAAGATCAAATGATACACAATAATTAAATTGCTCATATATATCCATTTGACAAAAATGTTATCTTTTTATATTTTATTAAAACAACTCACATATACTTCTTAGAGTACTTCAAAATAAAATTTCCTAACATTTAGAAAAGTGATAGAACTCAGAAAGTAATGACTAGTAACAATTAATAATTTATAAAATATTTATTCTAGCGGCTATTAAATGTTCTTCCTAAAACTAATCTCAATAATAGTAAAATATGCAACAATTAAATAGCGGCTTCAACGTAAAAATATTACTTTCCGAATTATCACTTTTCCAAATATAGAACTATCCGTCTATATTGTTTTTACATTTTAATTTATCTTTTACAGTTAGGCATTTAAATGTTATTTAATATTTGAGCTGATTAAGTGTAATCCTAAGTTAATTAATTATGGCACGTTTCATTTTCATGTAATACTTTTATATACCTAATTAATTCTCAAATATATATAATATATAAATTAGTTTCATTATTTCGAAATTATACACGTACTATTTAAGAATCTGATTAATACCTTTGAAATATATGATATTCATGAAATATACTTAGAATTATACTCACTTTAAATATTAAATAATGTTTGAATATTTTTGTAAAAAATAAATCAAAATATGAGAGCAATAATACCACACCTAAAATTACGTTTACTATAAAATTTGAAAACCAAGTAGTCATCAAATTTTTAAAGAAGACTCAGAGCCTTTCGACTATTAATATTAATAAAACAAAATATAACAACTGTAACCATGTGTATAATGTAATTATTATGCGTTCTCGAATAATTTATTCATTATATTACTTATATTACGTATTTAATAAATATAATTTTATATAGATAATACTGTGTAAAAGACAATGGACTAAGAAATTCATACAATATTTAATCACGTACGTTTTACACCCATCAAAGAAAGTATTCAATTAAAAAGTTTTTTTTTATACATATATAACAATATTTACTTTACTAAAATAGCTTTTACAAAATAATACCTATATATGAAATTTTTACCATATTATTAATACATTTAGTAAAGTACTAATAAAACGCATTGAATTTCTGTTAGTAAATTACTTGCACAAATTAATTATAATTAATACCTTAAGTCAAAATTTTGCAACGTTACGTAGCTTCTCACATTTTCGCATTATAGCTATAATTTTTTTAATAGAAGCTTAATAATCTTTTTATATAAAAGGCACTGGACAAAAATTAGTTAGAACACTTACAAAACATTAGAATCAGTGTATACTAACCTCAGAATTAGAACACTCGGAAGTTGGCGGCCCATTTAACACTGATTGTTCTGGATTACTACAATTTCCACGAACTTCGCTCTAAAATTAAAACAATTCAATATCGTTTATTTTTTTTTAATGTTATTCTATTCTAGATTGCTATTTTTATAATTATGTATATAGTAATGTTTATAATGTTGATGTGTATTTTGTACCTTAATTTGTGACATTTTTTGGTGAAGTTGTGTAACTACAGAACGTAACTTATCTAATTCCGCGTCTACTGCTGCTCTTTTGTTACATTCTATTTGAAGTTCTTCCGATAATCGTGCCTTTTCCTATAATAAATACAACTTATAAATAAAACGTAAAATTTACCATATTTAACAAAATTTGTACTTTCTGTGTACCTCTTGAAGTTTTTCCAGTGCAGCTAAATCATGAGTATTTATTTCATTGGGAAATGATGTTGGTGCAGACCTATGCGCCAGTAATTGGGAATTGGTTTGTTCTTTAAGAGATTCTGCATCTTTTAACCTAGTTTCCAACTCTACTATTTTGGCTTGTAACTATATAAACAATCAATAAATTATTTATTTATGTTTCAAACATATTATGAGTTAAATTATGAAAATCATTTAAATTCACCTTTTCATGTGCATTTAATTTGTTCATGAGCTCGTTCAATTCAAGCCTAAGATTTGCGACTTCATTTTCCTTCTTTCGAAGCTGAGCCTCCCATCTTGCTTCTTCCGACTCTACATGACTTTGAAGTTTATAGAGCATACCTTCCTGTAAATATATTTTAAATAAATGTAACTTCAAACTGAATCTAAATTAAATAACTTCACAAGCAAGTATGAAACTTACTGTATCATCAATGATTTGTTTGTAATGTGATACCAAGCCTTGTAAATTTTTGTTCTGTTTTTCTAAGTCTGAATGCGTTTCAACTACATTCTTCTTTCTTAAATCTATTAAAACTGCATTTACTTTTTCTTCGAAAACTTTAAGCCATTGATCATATGACTTTTCAGATACTTTTACTTCTGGGAATATCCTCTGTAATAAAGTCTTTGTTAAATCTTCTTGTTCTATTTTCACCTTTTGTGCAGCTTCCTAAAAATAAAAATAGCAATTCTTAATCTTGATTAATATTCTATTTAAATAAGAAAAGATACAATGTAAGATGAAAATTTTAGTTTATTACATATTATATGTGAAAATAAAAAACAATTGCCGAACAATTAGAAATTTTGAAAAAGAGTTCTAAACAAATAAAATTAAAACTTACATCAAAGTTCTTTCCATTGCTAGTTTTAATACGCGATTCAGCAGCAGAAAGAGCTTCCATCACTTTCCAGTTTTTCATACGCAACTCCTGTTCCAACCATAAAAAAAGATCAGTATGATATAACTTGATATAAATATTTTAGTACGAATAAATGAAAAAAGATTAAGTTTTTAAAATTTTAATGGAAAGATTGGCAAAGTGATGGAAGCAGTAAAAGCTTATTGTCAAAATACATAGATGAAAAATATACTCTATATAACCATTTGATCACGGGTATGATTTGTAAATTTACGGGTAACTTTTCCTTTTGTTTCACATATATAACATATGTATTTAGTAAGTGCGTAGTATAACTTACATTATTTTTAGATCTCTGAGCTTCTAAATCACTACTCAAGCGAGCAGCGAGGCTGCGTTGATTGTTCACATCGCTTCGCAATGCATCAACCTGAGCAGTTAGTTGACTGAGTTCTGCCTCCTTATGCGTTAACTCTTTTCTTAATGCTTCTAACTGACTCTCCTTTTGGGCCAACCTTCAAGCATATGTTAAATTATAAAAATATTAAATTATATATTCATTATTTTATATAGGTATGTAGATACATACAAATTAGTTTGTTCTACAAGTTGTACATTCTTTTGAACGTTATCATCGATTCCATTTTCTCGGCCTTCTGCAGCTGGGCGTTCAGTCGTTGCTGCTAATTGAGAAGCCAATGATTCATTCTCTTCTTGCAGTTGTTTCAGTTGTTTTTGTAATTCAGTAACACTTGCCAACTGAAAAACCAATACATGTACTTCAAATAAAATGTTATTTGCAATTAATTTCAAAGATATAAAGTACCTGCATTGAAAGTTTATCATTCTCTTCTTGTAATCGCGTAATTTGTAACTGTGTTTCACTTAATTTTTTGTCATTACTCTGTAACCTGTTTATTTCAGCCTTTAACATTTTGATTTCGTTTGTTGCTTCATTTGCCACTCGAAGTTCTGCGCGGATTTTTTCTAATTCGACTTCCTTTTGTTTCAATTGCTCTTCCAACTTCTGCACATCACACTTATGAGTATTAGCTTCTTCTTGTACCTTCTTCAAATTTTCTACTACCTTTTCAAATTCAACCGTAACTGTATCCAGTTTCTTTTGTGTTGCATCTAATTGTGTCTCCAACTTTACTACATTTTCTGTTGACTGATTAAGCTCCACTCGTACATTATTAAGTTTCTCCTCAGATTTTTTCAACTCTTCTTCTTTATTTACCAGTGTCATTTTAAGAGCTGTAATTTCAGCTGCTTCAGATTTCGCTTCATTCATGGAAGCTGATAACTCAGATTTTAATTTCACTAACTCTGACTGAGCTTTATTCAACTCTGTTTTTAATGCTGAAACATCATTGGCTTCTGATTTTACAGTATTGAGTTCACTTTGCAATGAGTTTACTTGCTTTTGAAGCTCTTGTTCATGACGATGAGCATTCTTTAATCTATGATCTAAATCAGCATGAGCGCGATGTGATTCCTAAATGAATATTTTATATCTGAGTGACGCGTTTAAACACTTTTTAACACAAAATTTTATATCTTTATTTGTAACGTTTCTTACCTCAAGTTGTCTAGCAACATCCTGTAATCTATCTCCAGCTTCTTTAAAATGTTGTAACTGTCCTTCGGAATGCATTAATTGGCTTTGCATAAGTCCTAATTGTTGTTGTAGCATTTCTATTTCAGCTGTAGTGCTTTCACAAGTTTCTTGCAATTCACTTTGTAGATTTTGTACTTCCACGTGTTTCTGCGCTAATTGTGTCTTTAAAGAATTTTCATTTTCACGCATCTGTGCAAACTGAACTTCCATCTGTTTACGCTGTGCGATCAATTCTTGTTGCAGATGTCCTTGAGTTTGTCCCTGATCTTCTTGCATTTTATGAATGATTGCGGCATTTTCGTTTACTTTAGTTTGCAGCTGTTCAATCTGTCTAGTGAATCCTTGTTTTTCAGCGGCATGACTTTCCAAAATATGTTGCATACGCGTATGTAAAGTCTGAGTCTCTGTTACTTTTGCATTTAATGCTTCTTCCAGTTGTCTTACGCTAGCCGATAATCTAGATCTTTCAGAATTAAGTTCAGCTCGCAATTCTTTCAGTTTATTTTGAAACGCGATGTTTGCTTCATGCTCGTCTGCCAAAGCTTTTTCCTTTTCTGCCAATTGTTTCTTTAATTTGATAACCGGATCAGCACGGCCCTCTGTCCATTCTGAATGTTCTGGTGGATTGTCCATTTGTTTATTTAAAAGCTGATCAATAAGGATTTGTATTTCAGAACGACTGAGTTCAGCTTTTTGAACTAAAGGCATCAAAAGGGATACATTGACAGCATCTTTGTCTCCGCCTAAAATGAAAAGATATTACCAAAAATTATAGAATTTGATATGAATAAATAGGAAATAAAGATGATTTAATGAAATAATTCATAAAAAGTGTAAACATGCTACTGAAATATTCAAATGGTATAATATTTTTCCATTATATCTATCTGATGTTTTACTCTTTTATCAATTTATCATAATGTAACTACAAACTAATGCTAATAAAAACATGTTAAAAAAAAAATTAAACCTTTCTTAACAAATGTAACAAATGCATAATGTTATTCCTTATATGGGAATGACCTTGATAGTAACTGTATGGACAATGACCTGTAAAAAGAGAAGGGGAATTGACCCTACCTCAGCTGCATTCCAAAGCACTTTAGAAGAATCTGTTTTGCTTAAGGTAGATTCCTTGCAAAGTTTAAACATATTTAATAAATGTTGTTCTGTTTCTAATAATAAACTACACATTACATATTTATAAACTAATACAAAGTATTTATCTTGAGTTACTTTTTTGACAAATATCAATATTACAAACGAATAATTTCATTTCATACATATAACAGGTGCAATGGCTATAATGATATTAAACATTATTCTCAAGAAAGTAATAAAATTAAAGTTTGCTTTATTTAATATAAGTAAAAATTTACAACACATTAATAAAGAATTTTTATAAAAATAATATATGTATATACATATATCATGCATTTGAAATTAAAATAATAAAATTCAATTATATATTTAAATATTAATTAAAACAATAAATTAATCAGAAAGAAGGTAATTAATGTATTAACTTACCAATTTGTGCTAAGATGTCATTTTTCTTCTTTGACTTTTTAGATTCTTTAGGTGGAGGTTGAGTAGAAACTAAAGATTCTTTTACAATTTCTTTCACCTCTTTTACTGGTGTTTCTTTTTGTTCTTTGATATCTTTTGTTTCTTTTACAGAATCCTTGTTAATTGATGGTCCATTAACATTTGCATTAGTCTCTTTTTTTTCTTCTTTATTAACATTTTCATCCTTTTTTTTTGCAGAGTCCTTCACACTTTTCTTTGATTTGGTTGGAGTTTCCTTTGGTGATTTATTTGCAACTGGCTCAGACTGTCCAATTTGTTGTAAATTTTCTTTCTATTAAGAACAAAAGACATTGAAACAAATATATTAAGAATCATATTAAAATTTATTAGGATTGGAAAAATTAAATACACAAAAATTAATTTTGTACTAAATTATTTGTTAATAAAATTATATAAATAATGTGGGCACATATAAAACAAAAGAACGGTTGAAAATTTAAATAACTGCAATACACTAAAAACATTAACAAATAAGATACATAATGTCAGCGTAAAAATCAATATTTAAATTTATTTTTGTGGTAATGGGTTGGGTATATTAAAATTAGTTTGTAGATCAGACATACATAAATCTGAAAATGCATTAATCGTATTAAATAAGCACTAACACTTTTCAAATGTATAGTTTTTGTGTTATAAAAGCAGCAAGCTATGCAAAATAACGAAAAAGGAATGAAATGCATATGCGGTAAAATATTCTACCAAAAGCAATTCACTCACACTATGACTCCGTATGAGTTCGAGGTCGTCCTTTGGCTGAATGAGGTCAAAATGATTAGCCTCTGCCGAGAAGGGTTGTGAAGAACTTAATTCAGTCACAATAACCAATGGCTCATCTTTATTTACAAGAATTGGTTTTACCTTTTCAACCTTGCTTTTCTTCTTACTTCCTTTGCTACCCCCCTATGATTTCAATGTATATGTAAAATGTTTTCCATATATTAAAGAAATAAAAAATAATAAAGACAAACATCTTTCACTTCTATAGAGATACATATTATTTTACATTATATTAAAATGAACATTCAAAATGATTCAAATCTATTTAAATATATATTGACCTCAAATAGCAGTGTAAATTACAAATTTGTTTTATGGAAACTAATAGGTCATATTCATTACTTGACTTATATATTAGTTTACTTTTCACCTTAAAACTGTACTTATTTTGATTTCTTGACAAACATATATACCTGAAATTGATAAATCCATTAACAGTCTCAACTTCTTTTATATTTCAACAATTAAAAAGTATCTTACTTCTTCTCGACAATATAAATTATGTAAAAATTCCATATCTAATAATTTAATATTAATATTAACAATCTTAATAATATATAAAATATTTAAAATAAACATATTTTCTTTACTGTCTTCAAATTAAATTATGCTCTCTACACATCTCTTATTTTGATTAATTTAGTTAACGTAGCATTAAACCTAAGATAAGATCATAAATAATGTAATAATGTATGAAGCAGTTATTTATAGAAAGTAATCTTGAGGTCCTAGAACTGTTTATCAATGGCCAATAAAGAAAAAACACATTTGCTCGAGTTAATTTGTTTCATATCAGATCAGTATTTTTCGTTTTTTAATTTTATTTAAAGATTCACAAACCTATCTCATTCTCTTTAATTTATTAGATATGCTCGATATTTATTAAGGTTATATATGTATGAAACAAAATACTTCAATATATATTCATATACATATATATATATATTTAAAATTATAATTACAACCAACTTACCAAGGCATAATTTCAACTACATTAAATAAATTTATAAAATATAAAATATTGCAAATAGAATCATATACTGCTAGGTAAAAATTTGATATTATACAAACATACTAAAAACTATACATATATTACTACAAAATTCATGAATAACAAATAAAAATCGTCTAATTACAAGATTTATCACTTTATAATTTTTGCCTTTTAGATTGTCTTTTCTTTTATAGAGTAATACTTGGCTATAAATATCCAATATATTTCATTAAAATAATGTCCATTTCAATATAATGTACATAAAATGTAATATACAAAATATTTCATAAAACTATCACAAAATTAAATAGGGAAAACATCGTCAATTAATTTTTACATTGATATAGGAGTGTGCAGTTAGTTTACTTAATTTATGTTTTTAATGATAACATTAAAATCAAAAACGTAACTAAGACAACACAAAGATGAGGATACAAAAACAGGAAAATACTTTTAGCTAAAAAAAAAGATAAATAAATAAATAAGAAAACTACTTTGATATAAAAATTGTTACTTTGCACCACATAAAATTCGTGTATTAGTTTAGACAAAATAGTCTATTAAATATTTTGTAAAAAATAGTATTACACATTATTAAAGAGTTATACTAACATATTACAATTAGTCTTTATGAATTGTATAACACCCAGACTGAAATGTGATACTTCAAGAATAGAAAGACCTTAAATGACGTACAGGTGTAACATACAATATATGAGGATACCATATTTCATGCATGAGATGTATGAAAACACAAGAATAAAAAAGCATATATGTGTGTTCTCCCATTTATAAAGATGTAGTATGGTTATTCACATACAAAGTGTAACATGCAATAAGCATGTAAAGATAATAAAAATTAAGTTAGAACTAAATAATATAATATTTATTCAAAAATAATATAAATTACTATTTTGTTTTATAGAAGAAAAATTATTATTTTAATTAAGTTTGCCAATTTAGAATATAAAACAATTAATTCTTGCTTGAAATTAATTTTATAGTCATTTTTTATTATAAATCATAATGCCAATTAATGCTGATTACTTCATGTATCTTTTGAAGAAATTATGTATATTTATGAAAAGCAATATCTTTTAGAAGAATTATTTTTATAAAATGTGTCATAGAACATGTATTTAAAGAGTCTACTTACCCGTAGTAATGGTTCTAAAGGTAGTATTTGAGGATTTTCTTCAAACTGAACATGTTCTGGTTTCTCTTCTTTATCTTCTTTTTCCTCCTTTTCTTCTTTCTTCTCTTTTACTTTCTTCCCTGTCTTATTTTTATGTTTCTTCTCCTTATTTTTATCTTTCTTACCTAGAAATAATAATTATATATATATTGCAAATAATATAAATATTTCAGTATAGTTAAGTTATTTTAACAAAATTACTTATCAAAGTATGATAACCAAATATTTATATCATTCAAAAATGAAAAAAGGATCCATTGATAAAGGAGCACATGCCACATTTATGTCAACTTTTAATTCTTAGTATTATTAGTACCATGAAATAATGAACATATAAACCTATTTAGAAGCCAAAGTCCAAAGTTTGGCTATAAAAGTTCAGGAATGACAAATTCTGGCCACAGCTGTATAAAGAAAAAGGTTTCTTAGATTATCAACATGCTCCATACAATGTATTAAAACAAAGCCCTAAAAAAAATAGAATGCAGCATAAAATCCTATAAGAATGAAGTTCAATAATCATTATTTTATAATGATTTCTTTTATGAGTCTTTCATTTTGCAATGAAAATTGTTCATCAAGACCTAACAAAAAAATCTAATTTCCCTGTAAGTTTATAATATTGTGACATGTGTTCCTTTTCCATTTGTGCCTCTTAGTTATTTAATAGCTCCGAAGGAGTGCTCAACATAATATCTTTGCGCTAAAATTATATCATATTATTTTACTCACTGAATAAAAGATCATCAGGAAGTTTTCTCTGTTCTGCTATTGCTTCTTCATAAGACTTTTCCTTTATACCAAACATTGACACTAAAACAATAACTGCTGCGGAAATAACTACGACTGCTATGTAAACCAATCCTGTCTGAACATCCATTTTGCCTATTTCTATGGAAATAAAATTTGTATTACTTTTTAATCTTCATATTAGTAATATGAAAAAAGCTAATTTATTAAAATCAATAATTTGGTAACAAGCAAATTTGCTAAATATTTATCCACGTAAAATTTATCTCATAAAACATTATACCATCTTTATTATAATACATTTATAACAAATTTAAATTAACCATAACATTTCACTATTTTTTTCAATGAAAATTATCAACATACTACATAGTATTACTTATCAATAATATAAATGCACATTCAAGAATACAGTATTAATCAACTTTTATAGATATAAAAAACTTTTCACAGAACATTAGTGTAAATTTTATTAAAGTGTACTTGCAAGACATAATAATACAGCATATAAAATGAACACAACAGATATATATGTAATATGTATATATACATATACATATATATGACACAAAGTGTTTTGCAAAACAGCAATTTCCCAAGTGAAAGTTTCGAGAAATGTTACAATGAAAATGACATATGGGTGACAAGCAGATCATCGACACAATCGCTGGAGATGAGTCAAATATTTCAACATTAAACCACGAATCGGTAGAACCGGCAAATTGATTTATATACTACTAACATTTTATTAAAACGATAAAACTCATAAACTTGCTGAATCTGCACTGCTCACCGAAAATCTTTTCTGTAAATTGCTTCCACTAAAGAATGCAAAACGAACAGGATACTGTGTTTGTCTATCGGGAATCACGACAAGATTCACACACGACGATTCTTCCCAAGAATTATGGCTGCCGGACATCCAAGCAAGTGTACGTGTTCAAAGCCACGCCTATCGAAACTCCTGTTTCCTGATTGGTGGCAATCATTGCCACGTATGCAAAATACTGTTCAAGCAACAATAAAATTCATCCAAAAATTTTATTAATTTTCACTGATAATTAATCACAGTGAACAGTTGATAATCTAATTTAATAATTCATCATTACTGATATACTACATAATAGGTATGAAAAGGTCATTATGTTTATGACACTGTGCCAATTTTACATACTAAAGACAAGTCGGCCAACTTAGGGAAAACAAAGCTTTGTTAGCTGCTGGGCAATCTGTAGCAGTGTTGGGCAAACCTGGACAGGTCATATGCCCTTCAAGAGCATTGGCGTGCACGTCTATGGAGTGCTTAAAGAAAGTATAGCGAAGTTTTATGCAGCGCCTAAAACTTATGAAAAGTCTAGAAAAACTAGGGAGAGTTTAAAAAGGGCGTAGGAAAACCCTAAGAAAGAAAGTTTGGGAAGAACATACAGGATGGACTAGAGGAATTCTAGAGAGTCCTAGTTCTCCCGCTTCTGACAATCAGAAAAATACAGCGCCTACAAGCTACCACCCACCACTGTTTAGTACAACATAATCTATCTACCGTTTAATATAAACTTTAATGAAACATTATTAATAAATAAAACAGAAATAAAATATATTTAACGATTCAGTTTTATTATAGTTTATAGTCGACTTTTTAACATATAGAAAAATATATTTTTATCCCATAATTTTATCAAAGTGTATAATATTAATTATAGTAGATTTAATTAAATTTTATTAAAGTACCTACTTGTTATTCCAAAAAACAATGTAAAAATCATAAATTTAATATTAATTATATTTTAACAAATAGATATTTAATGCTCTCTATACAATTTTAATTTTTATTTTCATATAACATTTCTTAACAAACTGTATTATGCGTTATATACTTTTTATATATAAACTAATAGTAAGAAGACTGAAAACGCATGATACACTAAGGAATAATTGGCATAAAATGAATATTTAAAAATTTGAATGAATATGCCATGATCTTTGTTGCTTTTAAGTGTATAAAAGCATTGATAATATTTGAAATTATTATTTATGAAACTTCTGACTTTTTGCATAAAAGTTATTCCATTCACTATTATCCATGAATATTATTGTACTGCAAATTGATAAATATACGCACTGTAAAGTATTATTTATCATTCAGAAGTTTACTCCAAAACAATGCATCGATATCCTTTTTTTTACATTAAAAAGAATTTCATTATTACTTTGGGAATGTTCATGCAACCGCTCGTGCTTCGGGCAAAAAGCTTTCCCAAAATTTAATAAGTTGATTTTGATACTGTAACATGGATTCCAAATATTCTGTTAACTGTTTCTTAAAGTCTTCCACTCTTACTAATTCAAATCGCTCAACTTCCTTTTTTATCATTTTTGAAATGTTATCAAATTCTTCTTGTCCTCTATCAACCTTTGCTTCCCACTCTATAACTTCAGTAGCTGCTTGACTTGTTTTATCTGTTCTACCAGATTGTTCCATTCTTGCTTTCTGTTCTCGTTTTTTATTTAACATCACCTGAGCATGTTGCCAATTTTGAAAGACTTTTACTCTTTCGTGAAATACATCCTAAATAAAATATTATATTTTTAATAACAATATAAATTAATGAAATAAAAATATATATCCAAATTTGAATATAAATACTAACCTTTATTGCTCCAATAAGTGCTACATAATCTCTTAACATTTCACCAAACTGATATAGATCACTATTGCTTTGTGCTCTTCTAATTACTTCTACTTTCTCTAAAGTCTCAGCCAATTGAGCGAGCGCCCTTCCCAATGATGCTCCTGGTTCACCATGACCAAGAACAGCAATGGATCTTGCAGTTGCACCAGTACACGTAGCTAATTCTCTTCTTTGATTAGTTAATGTGTCAACGGCAGAATGCAATGCACGCAACTGAACATCAAGAGAGTCAATTTGTGATGTTTTTTCTTCAAACCACTGAAACACAAAAAAATTAAAAATATTACGTATAGATTTAAACTATTAACTTTTCATAACTTTGCAATTTAATTTTACTTTATCAGTTTCATCCATTTTGTATGTAATTTTATTAACAGTTTCCCCAACTTTGCTGAAGAGTCTCATTACTCCTTTACCACTAAGCGCAGATGTATTAGTAGCTTTTGGTAGTTCCATATCTATTTAAAAAATATATAGTTTCATTAATATAATTAAAGTTGTATTAAGATGAATCTTTTGTTTTACGCTAAAACATACCTGCTTCTAAAAATTCCCTAAAATCAGGATCAACACTAAGCACAGGATGAGCTCCAGTTCTGTTTAAATATCTTTCAAGAGCTGCTCTACGTCTTTCAATAAATTCTGTAGAACTAGAATTCTGTTCCTGGCTCTTATCGCCTGACATTTTAATTTTAGTTGTTCCTAATTACATAATTGTTTTAGTTGTTTTATTGATCAACATTGAAACTAATAACAAATTTAAAATATTTATATTAATACCAATAACACTCTTTTCTGGAGCAGGTGGAATTATTCTGCCATTTCTAAGATATTTATCTGTTAATTTATCATGAAGGCCAAGAAAGTCACTGAAGCGTCTAATAACGCTAAAGTTTCTCTTTCTAAATATTGGCATATTTGTTTTTGTTTCAACTCTATAGGCAACATAAGCACCCATACCATCTCCTATTTTCTGAGGAGAAGTTACAGTGATTTTTAGAAAAACATCAGATAAATCTGTTGGTACCTAAAAAGTATGATATTATATATTTTATGTTTTTCTCTTAAAATTATTAATATTTAACAATTTTAAATATATCATACCACATCGACTGATTGAGTTTGCATAGCATTTGTCGATAGTACATCTGTGTTATCATTTATGGGAACATCATGAAGATCACCTATGTCGCTACTCATTGGTCCTAATGGTGAACTTAACGGTCCTGGTGCAGGACTCGATACAGATGAAAATGAATTTTCTTCAGGTGCATCTCGTAATGTTAACTTTGGTAATTCTGCTTGAATCGTTGATACTCCATTATAAGGAGAAGAATCTTCAAGTTGATTTTGATCCTAAATTTATCACAAAGAACATTAAAAAAAAAGAAAACACAAAAGTGCATCAATATATGAACACTTTTGTATCTAGATCAAGGGTATATTCTTAGTATTTAATAGACATAATATCATGTACATTACACAGTCATAGAGCCAAAGAATATTATAGGATATTAATATTATAAAAAACACCTATTCATTTAAAATGTATCAGAACAAAAAAATATTAAAAATCCATTGTATTCTGTTGGCTCTGATCAAAATATGGACTTAATATCTTTTTTACACTGTTAGATTAAAAACCAAGCGGTTCAAAATAAAATAATTTTTACCGACGAAAAGAATGAAAAACTTAATATGGGAAACATGTGAAATGTCATTTTTTTAAAATAGTGAACTTGATACACTCTGGCTTCGAGATCCTGTTATCTGATAATAATATAAGTACCTGCACTGCTGACGCAAAGATATCTTCATCGTCGTCATCTAAATCATCAACTTTTGTTTCATTCGTGTCAAACAGCGGTGGAGATTCTTTAATATCAGCCATCTTAGCGGTTCTGTCAATCTACTGAGAAATGCACTGGGATCGGCCCCCTAAATGATGTATGCCAACGTCAATCGTTATCTACGATTATCGTATTTCTTATAGTGTCTGTAGTTGTATGTTATAAACTTTTCAATAAAACCGGTTTATACATTCCGTATATTAAATGCAGAACTCCCACAACCTATAAGATTGTATATCACAAATACATCAAATTGACAATCATGCTATTAAAGGCGCTCACTGATGAAGTTAGTTAGACGTGGTCGTGGTTGGATGAAAAAAATAATTGTATATTCCAAGTGCTATTGTATATTCCCAGTGCTATACCGTTTACAGTGAATTGTTATCATCTAATAACGAGTTTGTAACGGTACAGTAATAAGCACGATAAGTTTCCCTAGGAAAAATGGCAACGTAGGAGAAAGAATCCCTATCATTCGTTTATTTTTGGTTGATAAATTTTTTAAATTTACAAATATTCAAATTTAGACACTTCCAAAGTTTCATGTTTTTACATTTTTTTTACAAATAAGTCGATTTTAACGTTATTCATTTATGATAAGGTTGAGAACCGCTGTCCTAGAAAATCACTTCTCTCGATTGGTAAATTTTCATTCACCGGGTATATGACTGACAGAGTGATTTGGATATGAACTTTCATACAACAAATATATAATTTATTAAACGTAGATTATATTTGTCAGCAAATTATAATTACTTTCGTATTTTACATTTTTATATCTAAAAATAATGTGCAATTTTAAATTTTGTCAAATAGTTTCATAAAGCAGTACAGTGGAAGAAATATATAAATGTGTAATATTTAGAATAATTTTATGTAATTTTTTAATAATTGTGAAAAATGAATCAAATGTCTAGAGAAGAAATTAATATTAGACGTCTTCTAACAAGGTGCGAATTAATGGCAAAAGATGATCCTCATAAAGATTGGAAACTTGAAAAGGTACATTTTGACATATGTTTTTATATTATAAGTAAATTTTTCAATTAAAATAATTTATTTAAAATAAACATATTGTTTCAGTACATATTTGCTTTGGATGATATGATAAAAGAGTTACAAACAATACCAAGGTAAAACATAGTTATAAATACAACTGTGGTTTATAACATATTGTAATAATCAATTATAATGTAAAATGTTCTAAATTATCACTTGTAGCAAACCGTGCAAAGATACTATGATGAGCTATGTTAAACGAATAGATTTTCTAAAAGGATTAATAAATACAACAAAACTTACAAACCCAGTAGATAGAGTAGCAGCAGTACAAATGCTATCAAAAAATTCTGCAACATTCAATGATACAATAGGTCCAAATATAACAACTCAAATACATCAGAAAACTTCAGCAAAATATAATCTAGAATTAAGAGCAGAATTATTCCATACTGATAAAGGTAAATAAACATTTTTTTAGCTTATATATTTATATAGCTCCAACAATAATTTAGTTTGTTATAGGAACATTAGAGGATGGCGTAAGACAAAGATTATCCACAAATATGCAAGATGATGATTTGGATGCGCTTTTAAAATACAATAGAAACATTCAAGAGAAAATTGCTGAAAATATGCTTTCTATGACCAGTAGCATGAAAGAGCATGCTTTAGCGGCAAACGCCATAATAAAGAAAGATATTAGTTTACTTGAAAGGTCTGACAAATTAACTGATGTTAATACAGCTAAATTAAAAACAGAATCATTGAAACTTCAAGAACATACAACATCATACTGGCGATGCTGGATGTGGGTAATGATAGCGTTTGTTTTAGTTGTATTTTTCAGTAAGTATCGTTATAAAAAAATGAAATAATCATATTACTTATTAATTTTATAATTTATTATTTTCTTCAAAATATATCTAATGTACTTATATAGGACATTCTAAATTTATTTCATATACAAAATTATTTGTATTTTTCTATTTTACAGATATGGTATTATTTATGAAAGTTGCCAGAAAAAGAATTTAAATTTTATGTATATATGTATGAATTTATGTTTTATAAAATCATACTTGGAATAGATAAAGTATGGGTTGTGAGGACATTCACGTATGTGCATGAATGTGAATTGCTTTTATAATTCACATAGAGTCATCATTATTGTAATTGTCAGTACTGTATGGCTAGCATTATGAATGTGCCTATGACAGCACCCGCACCACCTAAAACTACTTGGAAACCTGGTAAATCATAAAACAAAACCAATATGGTTAGATTATTTGTGATTGTTGTAATTATTTTATATAAAATAGTGTATAATTTGTTTGTATTGAAAGAAGAAAAATATGTGTATTGTTCACTGAAATTAATAGGAAATATATCGAATTTGTGCATATTAATAAAAATATTACATCCCAATTTGTACAGTCCAGTGTAAAGGTTATTATCATGTATCTTAACAGTTTTAAAAATAACCCAATAAAAATTTACTTATATTACTAATAATGAAAGTGAATGTGATATTTGTGAATCTCACATCTTCCTTTTTTACTTATTACATCTAACTGTTATGCATTAATTTTCTATATTTAATTTGTTATCTGTTTTTAAGGTAAAGTTAAAGTTGTACGGGCATTGTATAAATATATAGCACAGCGTGTAAGCATGTTCATATATTAATAATATAGTTTAAAAAATGTATATTATCATTATATTAGTGCATACATATATGTAGATATCACATTTTATAGGCAGATGAACTATCCTTTGAAGAAGGTGATCTCCTGTACGTTTATGATAAAGATGTAGAACCAAATTGGTGGAGAGCAAAATGTGGAACTCAGGAGGGTCTTGTACCTGCTAATTATGGTTCGTATAATTTTATATGTGCAATCCATTTTTATTGTTTAATGCTTTTGTAAACAAATTAAGAAGAATAATATGATTTATTTGTAGTTGAAGAACAAACTGAAGAAATTGAATTGCCATTGCATGATGCTGCAAGACGGGGAAATCTTTCATTATTAAAAGAATATATAAAACAAGGAGTTTCAGGTACAGGTTTAGATGCAATGGGTAATACTTCACTTTACTGGGCTGCACGTGCTGGTCATTTGGATTGTGTAAAAGAGCTTTTAAATTTACCAAATTCTGTAGTTAATGCTAAAGTAAGTACAATAATTCTTAGTATCATTATTTTTTATCATAAGTTTTTGTTTTATATATGTTTTTTATTACAGAATAAAATAGGAGAAACACCATTACATGCAGCAGCAAGTCGTGGACATATAGATACTGTTAATTTATTACTAGAATATGGTGCAGATCCAATGATAAAAAATAATGACGGTTTAATACCTGAACAATTATCTTCTGATTTGTCAATTAAAAATGCAATACAATTAAGTCAACGTCACTCTAATAAAATACATGGATACACAGATGATGACTATAATGATGACAGTGACTAAAATTAACGAATTAATATATCATTTATATATATTTTATACAGGGTATTAAAAAAACTTGTGACCAAATATCAGGATCACGATAATACATTATATACATTATTACTATAAAAAATATAAAAATTTTTGTTATGTTTTACTAATGTTTTCTAATAAAAGAAATTCATTCATTCTAATAAAAAACTTTATATACCTTATACAAATTACCACTAAAACTCTGAAAATAATGAAATTTTAACATAATTATCATACTGAATAATAATTTATTTTAAATTAATAATCAATGTAAAAATATATTTCAATACTATTGGTATGTTACATTTCTTTTCAGAATTATTATTAAAATTATTATTCATATTCGTATTTTAACAATTGAAGCAATAAGTTGAAATTTACGCAATTGTATTTTTCAACTTCAAGTACGAGTATTAAATTCAATTCTTAATAGGTATCATAAGTTATAATAAACATTAAATTTGGTTTAAATACAAGTAACAAAATAATTTTCAAATCAAATGTTATAAATCCATCACTGTACGTTCTTGCATTACCTTCCAACAACTGCTATTGAAGTGAAGCATTTACTTTTATTTTTACATTTTTTTGCTAAACCATCTATTAAAATCCAGCCTCAATAATAACTGAGCTAAATGTTCTCCACTTGGTTGTGCACGTACTCTATTTAACGTTTTAGTTAGCCATCCCATTAAACTCTCTAGAGTATCAGATAATGTTTTAAGCTCTTGTTTTTCTGTCAAAAGTAAACTACCTACTTCCCACATTGATGCTTGCAAGATAAAATCGTCACAGAGTCGTAGTAAAAGTTTGATTAATTTATTTACCTATTAAAAATATTTATAATTTAGTTTTATCAAACATAACCATATAAATTTGTAATAAAAAAGTAACATACAGGATTTTTTCTTTCTGTAGAATTTCCTAATAAAAATGTTTGTGACATAACATTAGCCAGAAAAATAGAATGTGCTTTCTGTACATCTTCAAAATTTCGAGTATTCTTCATATTTATTTCCATTATCGTATACTGACTTTCTATTACATCTACTTGTAAATAATATTGTAAATTGTCAATAATAAAAATTAAATTGTTTCTTAACTGAATCACACCAATATCACTGAAAGAAAAATGGATCATTAATTATTAACATTAGTTTTCTTATAAGCAAAATGTTACTTATATCTTACATGTTTTTACAATACATGTGTTCACTCCAGAGATTCCATAAATCAATTTGTGTCTTTTTAACTCTTAGCAAAAATCGAAATAATGTATTATAATCATTTAAAGATGATGGATTAAATAATAAGTGCAATGGCCACACGACTTTGTACTTTAAAATAATCATACCCCATCCGCGTCTTTCTACAATCGTTTAATAAATAATAATGATTAATTGTTAATAGTATTTTGTATAATAGTATAATCGCGATAAAAGGCCTTACCAATAGGATCTTCACGCTCCTTCTCAGTAAATTCTGTACTTTCTACTTCATCATCATCGTTCTCTTCTGACGGAACCGGTACTATAAAATTAAAGCTATCCATAGCATTTTCATCGTTTAAATGCATCTTTCTTAACGCTATTTGAAAAGCTAGATTGATATCTCTAGATGTGTGATTTGTGGGTGGCTTATTTAATAAATGTGCAGTGAGTCTAATAAATTCAAGAAATAAATCGCCCCTTCCTATAAGAAAGAAGTCTTTCACTAGTTTAAGTTGTTGCACAAGCTGTGCTTCTTCAACAGCAACTCGCCACAAAAGTTCTGTAATACATTGCTTTAATTCATCGATTGTATGTTCAAATTCAATAATATTAAAAATAGACTTCTTCTGAAGATTTTGCAATTTAAGAAAATATTCATATTCCTTATCTCCCCATATAGGGTTCTCTATTTGATCAACTGTTGAAAAGTCTGTAAATAAATAGAAAATATTAAAAATTATATTTCATAAACTTTTTGTATATTGATTACCTTTCTTTTGCCTTGGATCATTTCCAAACATTATAATAGTTTGACCAATGGTCAAAATTTTAGTTGCTAAAGACGGTCTAATATAAGAAGGAAGCATGTCTATTTGAATATCATAATTCCACATATCTGCATTAAATTTTGCGTTCATTGATTCCATACAATTACTTTTATTATCTACTAGTATTAAACTACTTTGATTCTCTGATACTTTCTGAATGAAAAACTCATTGTATACATCCTCTAAATGACCATATAAAAGCCAACTTGTTAAGTGTTTATAAAAAACAACATGTACACAATAAGCCATCCTAATAAAAGTAAAATAATTAAACATGAATAAAAATAATATCAAATAATATTGAAGAATACATACTTTTCTAAAGCTAATTTTACTTCAGGAATGCCAGTATGCATATTCTGATGCAAACATTGTAGCAGTTTACAACCATGTGTTTTTTGTGTACGAATCTAAAATAATATGGAAATATAAATTTTTTTCAATTATACAGCATACATCACAATATATTGTTATGTACATAATATGAATAATATTTATTTACCTCTTGTATGATAGAATTTAAGACAGAAAATAGACATACATATTTTTGAACACGACAAAGAATTAATGACAATGGAGTATAACTGTCATGAAGAACTACATTTTCTAAATCAACAATATCATCACGAAATGGTTCTAAAGCATGATCCATTCCTTCGCAAAGAGCTTGTAAATATAAGCCATGAGGCACATTTTTTAGTTCTATAACAAAAAGTAGATAAAAATAAATTAAAATTACAATATATAATGATTAAATACAATGACTACAACCGACAAATTCAATAAAAAGTTTTCATACCCTCGCTGGATTTTGAAATATCTATTGCAGTACATCCTTGAATAAAGTTCCTGATAATATTACATTGTTCAACTATATCCAATATTTTTTTAAGTAACACTCGTTCTCCAGGATGTAAGTATTTTTCAAGATCTATAGTCTAAAAAGAATATACTAAATGTACAGAAATATAGAGACAATAATAATGTACTTATAACTTTAATCTTACACTGTTTTCTAATATTTGAAAAGCATTAGTTGAACATCCCCATAATGATAACAGTACTTCGTGCAACATGGTACAAGTATTTTTTAATTTAAACAAAAATTACTCTTCCACCTTAGAATATATTAAATTATAAAAGGAGCAATACATAGAATGCAACCTAAATAACCTGAAAATGTTTAAATCTTTACATACAGTTTGTTTCTTCTTACAAATAAAATGAATAGAAAAGCGTTAATCTTATTATATATAAAGAAATTCATACTTTTCTCCCTGATCATTTTTTACATTTGTTAAATATTTCATTTCATTTTACATATTTCAAGTACACATTTTGTGACACGCTTTTATTTGGTATTTACTCTGCATATATATACAGATATGAATTTCATACACATATCCACGAAAACAATAACTTAAAGTCCATCTTTCATGTAAGCTGTTTTTGTTGGAGAACGTGTCTTTATTGGTTCATATGACAAAAATTGATTTAATCTTTGATAGAATTAAAAGTGTACATGTTGACAAACGTCATTCATGAAGTAAAATCATGCAAATACATTCTAGATTTGTGGTGAAATCCTTCAGTATTCAATAGTGTTGTGAAATAAACGGTTGAGGTTAATGAATTTATTTTAGTTTTATATAAATGACATCTAAAATACTCTAAGAAAATTGTAATATGTTATGCATTGTTTACGTTAAAAAAGTTTTTTTTAATTAATAAAAATAATTTGTACTTATCTATTATCTTGATTCTGAGGTTTAACCTCAAATAAATATCCCATTAAAATAATGTGTAAGTATAATATTAAGTTCAATATATTTTTGAAAGTAAAATGATAATTTGGAAATTTGTTAATATAAAAGATGTTAATAAAAATTTTTATTTGAATAATAAACATTTCAGCTTTACCATTATGGATACAATAAGGAATACATTAATATGTCGTTTATGTGGTGTTAATATTGTAGAAGGAAAATGTAAAAACATTTTCGAAGGATCAACTAATTTGGTACAGAAGATAAAAGAAACATTACCAATTTCAGTACGTTAATATACTTCAATATAAAATATTTACTTATTGCCTCATAAAATTACTAAATTTAATTCAATATTGATTGCTATATTAAAAGATTTTTAAGTTTTAATTATTTTGAATGACTGTTACAGATATCTATAGATGATAATGGTTCAAAACATCTATGCTTGCCATGTTATGACAAAATTATTCTTTATTATAAATTTACCCAAGAAGTATTAGAATATTCCAAAAAATTAGAGAACGCGTCAGAAATAAAGTCTTTTTTTGATTTATCCAAAGAAATAACAGACTTTTCAAAAATTCATAGTGATGCTGTATATACATGTCCAAATTGCAATGTAGGTTTAATGATTTTATTAGTTAGTAATTCACAAGGCTGTGATTATACCTTTCAAATCTCATTAGCTATGGTAAATCATTCTGAGAAGAAACATGTTATACAAGAGAAAAATATTGAGATACATAAAAACTTAATACATGCCAATAATACTAAGAACAATATATATTCAAAACATGAAAATAAAACAACTTCTGAAAGTGTTGAAAATGTTCCTAATTTAATAAGTCTTACGTTACCTGTATTGCAACAAGAAGAAAATATAAATTATATCAATGTATTATCCAATAAAGAAAATACAGAAACTGAAGAGTGGAAAAAGCAGAAAAAAAAATTTAAAGAATCTAATTGTCACAACCATTCTATTCATTCATCAAATGTATCCTACACGTCTAATGAGAACCTACTGAACTGTGATTATGATTCTGCAGATCAATTAGTAAAAGTTGAGAATGAAAGTGATAATGCTTATTGGTTTGATAGTGAGACTGACTGTAAAAGTGAAAAAGATGTATATATGACTGAATCACAAGATATTATATTAAAGAAAGATAATGCACAAGAAGAAGATGATTCGTATAAGTCTTGTTTAAAATATGAATGCAAATTATGTGGAGCACGTTATCTTTCACATTTAAAATACGAATTTCATATGGAAAGACATAAGTTAGGTAAAATGTGTAAATATGAATGTACAGTATGTGATAAAGAAACAACTAGTGAAAATTTATTATGGGATCATTATTTTCACACCCATAAAAGTTTACAACGTTATGTTTGCTTAGAATGCGGAAAATTATTTACTAAACGATCTAGATTGAACTGTCATCAAAAGAATTATAAACACTCTGGTATAAAACAAATACAAGTCGATACCAGTAAAGATACTACTGGTGAAGATTTTATACAAAAGGTAATAGCAACAACAAACCAAGAAAAAGTTTCTGTAAACTGTAATCTCTGTGGTAAATTAATTTCAGACCTAGATCCAGATGCTATTAATGATTTAGTTACATGTATTGATTGTGAAGATTCTACACTTTCTTTAATGGTAGATGGAAATGAAACTAAAGTAATCTCTCCAAGACAATATCATTGTTCTAAATGTCCTAAGCATTTTGTACGGAAAGAACGATTAGAATTCCATGAAATGAGACATAATGAGAATATGAATGAATTTATTTGTAGTACTTGTGGAAAAGATTTTAGAGCTGAAAATTCCTTGTATGAACATTATCTTTTTGTTCATAAAGGAGCAAGACCCCATATCTGTGAATTATGTGGTAAATCATTTCAGTTAAAGGCTAGATTAAAAGAACACCATAGAATTCATACAGGTGAAAGACCATATCAGTGTGATATTTGTGGTCAACGATGTAGAACTACAAATGCCTTAAAACTTCATAGAAAAATTCACTTTTCTCATAATAGATATACTTGTAATGTCTGCAATAAATCATTTAGTAAGAAACAAAATATGAATGAACATTTAGAAAAACATTGGAAAAATGATAAAAGTGTAACATTACCACAGCTATTTACATGCCCAATTTGCTTAGAAGATTTTCCGACATATCGAATGTTAAAATACCATATGATAGAAATACATGAAATAAATAATCAAGATCCAATTTTAATTAAGCAAAAGCCATGGTATGAATGTACTGAATGTCATGAAAAGTTCAAACATCAAATGTCTTTAAAAGCACATAAAGAGAGAGTACATGAAGGAAGAGTAGATCCAAATTACCAATGTGATACTTGTAATGCAACATATAAAGTAAAACAACTTTTAGTGAATCATATTAAAAGCAAACATAATGGTGAAAGACGCTATAAATGTGCACAGTGTGAGAAAGGATTCAATGATACTAAATCTTTATATAATCATGTATTGTTACATACTGGTAAAAAACCATTTGTTTGTGAATATTGTAATATGAGTTTTAGAAGAAAAGACTCTAGAGACCATCATCGTAGAAAACATACAGGTGAACAACCTTATCAATGTCCAGACTGTGGTGAATCATTTTCTACTTATAATAATAGATCTAAGCATCGAAAACGAGAGCATGGAAAAGATCCTGAATGTCCTGAATGTGGAGAAAAGTGTAGTAATCAGCAGGAAATTAGAATTCATCTAAATAAACATCTTGGAGAAAAATTGAAAAAACTGAAGAATATACAACCCGAAATGATGTAGCTTAAAAATGACATCATATTTAAATAAATAGAGTGGAATCTTGATTAATTAGTGTAATTTAAACTATTTAAATTGAAAAAATACTGATTATTTAAAACATTTATTTGTAAAGCAGAATATATACAAATTTATATTTCGCTGTTCAACTTTACCAAAAATACAATATAAAATTGTAAGAATATTTATATAGTTTAATTATCAAATATTCATTTTTGATCAAATATTTTAATTTATCAAACTGCCTTACTTTTGTAATAAAAGTTTTTAAGCGCTAATCTAATGTTATTAAATCAGAAATTTATTACAAATAAATTATTTACCAGAATTTTTATTTTCATTTTTATACTATTTATTATAAATATAATATATATTTTGATAGATATATATGAGTACTGTATCTATAAAATTAACTCATTATAATATAAAAATAAAAGAATTATATACATGAATTTACACTACTTATAATTTTAATGAATAAGCAGTCTTTAAATTTTATTTAGGAATTTAATACTTACTATTGCATCATTTTTTATTGTGTAGTTAACAAATGTAGCTATAGTTGCTTATAAAAGTAAAAATTGCAAATATCTACATAACTATTAACAAAGTCTATAGCAAACAATGAATAAAATGAGATAATATCATATAATGCATTACTAATTTAATAAAAAATAACGTTTAACAAGTTTAGATATTAAATAGATATTGTTCAAATGGCTATTGTTCTTTTTTTTATTTTTTAAACCCAAATATTTTCAAGCACTAGTTGAAATCATAATAAAGAAGACTAATCGTAGAAATGAATTTGAATTAATCAGGGTTCCACTGTGTTATAAAAAAATAAGTGCATGAGACATCATATTTGTTAAATCAAATTTTTATTAACAATAACATATTCAAAAAATCATTAGTTTTTTTTTAATTAAAAATGATTGAAAAGAACTAAATTTAAGTTTATTTCCTATGTTCATAAATTAAAATTAGTATATAAAAATATGAAAAACGCTTTTATTTATTTAATTATTTAAGCTAAAAAAATATTCATATGTGTAAAAGTCATAAATTTAAATGTATATATACATTCACGTATCTATAGGGAAATATATAATACTATTAAACTAAAATAGTTTGTAATAATTTAATGTTTATTTTAAACATTCTTGTTTATACTTTAGAATTAGGCATTTATACTATTATTATAATTTTTTAATAATATATTTCCGGCATAAGAAAGAATCATATCATTTATTAAAAATATCTGCAATTTTTATTATTTTTTAATTGTAGCATATGATTGTTATAAAATATTGTGTACAAATTGTTAAAATGTTTGTAAGAAGCAAAATAAGTGCGTACTTATATTTTTAATTCATTTTGTAATATAAAATTTTCAAATAAATTTTAATAAATAAAATAAATTGAATTTTTTATTTTTATTCATATATTAGATAATTATAATTATATTGACTACGATTAAAATAATTTTCAAATTATCGAAAATTAAGATATAATGGAATTTAACATTAAAAATATAATACTGTAAACTTCGTTATTATCAGTATAAACTGTGTCAATGAAATAAAAAAACATTTCGTATGAAAACTTAGTACCGATGCATGCGCATGGTACTCATACGAAGGTTATAGTCAAGTGTACACGTGCAGTTCAGACAAATGTCAAAATTTAAATGGTTGCGCTTCTGCGTCCGATGTGGCGCTGTCTCGCAAAAATCAGGTGGTCGCATTTACCAGCTGTGTGAGGCTACCTTACACCAGTGATTACATACACATACAAGACTTTTAATTTTTCAAATTAAAAAAGTCAACATTGTTAACGACATAGAATTCTATCGAAATATTCATGTATCGCTTGTAAACATTCTTTAAACTTTTTTAATTTCTCAGAAAGCGAACAAAAATATAAAACAAGGAACTACTTTCTCGCGGAGTAATATTGGAAACCGTTCGAGCAAGTCAATATTTATTCCAACTTTTTCTGGCAATTTTGCATTCTTTTATTGATATGTCAAATCCAAACGATAGTGTCATAATTTTTAAAGATCCTCAACGCGAAATATTTTGAAAGTCTGAACTTCTTTGATTGCTATTTAGCGAAATCATTTTTGCGGAGGAATAATGTCGTGCTACGATCGCACAGACGCGAGCCAGCATCGTTCATTGGCTGAAGGAAGCGAGCGATTCACACGAACGTGACACACGTTCTTTTCCGCAAATACGTATTCACCAACACTTATATGCGATTTTCGTACACGATCCAGGACCGTACTTATTACACACAATACCCTATAAATCGTTTAAAAAATCGTTTTACTTTCGGTCATGTAATGGTTCAGGATAACGTCACAAACATATTTCATTCATCAACAACAATTTTACGTAAAACAAAAATGATTATTTGCCCGTAGTTCTTGAAGATTCAAATTTGTTATCATTCAATATTTGAAAATTTAAATGATGATAACATAGACTCGTATTCCATTTATACCTTATTCTGTTATTATATCGTTACGATTGTAAATTTTATTGTTATATAGCCTATTATTTTTCATGAAACAAAACGATAAATTCGCAATAACAACGCAGTGATAATGAACGCAAAATACGAAAGATCATACTTCAAAACTGGTGCATCGCTAATGTTACTGTACCTAATACGAGATTGTGTAAAGAATAGTTTTTTGTTTAATAAAATAACAATGGATTTATGGAATGATATGATCGAGAATGAATCGAAATATATACGATCCTGGTTGCTCGGCATAAGTAGGGACGAAGGGAGAGGCAGGTTTGCACACACACCGGCGCAGAACGGAGAGCGAATTCACTCGCCGGCTCTCAACAAGAACGCGTCGACGTATACACCGTGTTTCAACGTACCGAGGTGATATATCTGTTATTTATCCTACGGTCGAAGGCGAGTCAATCGTGAAAATGGCCGGGGAAAAGCGTACCCAAGACCAAGAAGAAACCTTGTTGTCGGAAACGGTGGTCTTAGTTGACATCGAAGGCACCACGACGAGCATAAGCTTCGTGAAGGTAACAAAGACTATGGCCGTGAGGCAGAACGCGCCCTACGGGTTCTCGCATTTCACCGGTTTTCCGACGCGTTCTCTGACAGTACCCGATGATAATAATTCTTCACGCAGGAACTTTGTTTCTAAGAAATTTCTGATCGTTATCACGAACTTTCCGGAGTAATGAAAATTCATGGATAATACTTTCGCGCGTATTGTGCGTGGCTCTTTTAGCAATACTATGCCGGCTGAAATCCAGTTTTAGGTTCCCCGTTCGTGAGACAGCAAATTTCATGGAAGCCAGTAGACGTTGTTTGCTCGAATATAAATATATTTTTTACGTCGTCTCGAATCTCGTGTTTTATTCGTGTTCAGATGTAGTATCGTATGTTCGATCATTTATTTTTGCGGAATTTTTCAATTGTGTGTTTAACAATGTTTTCAATGGAAATAAAATCGTTCTTGTATCTAAAAAATTCTGATTGTTTATCGAGGGAAATATTGTGGGTAAAAATGCTGGTTAGCAATGTTGTTACATGTGCGATTTTTCAAAATAACGGAAATGGTAACGGCGCATCGCACTGTTAATTCGATCGGTGAATATCTTACTACATTCACGTTTCACCTTCTTCCTTTCAGGATAAACTTTTCCCTTACGTGCGAGATAATTTAAAGAGTTATATTGAAACTAAATGGGAGGATGAGGAGTTTAAAAAGGACTTTGAAAAATTGAAGGAACAGGTAAATGTTTTAAGTATTGTTTACAGGATTAATATATTTATACAAAGCGGATAATTGATATTATGCAGTTTTTTCGGTTTATTTATTATTGTTGAAGCATGTTTGAGTGATATAAACATGGGAGAATATGCTATTGATTGTTTATAGAAGATTGATATGTGCCTTCATTATACATGCACTTATTCTTCCAATATTTTATTTAATAAAAATGTAGTCTGACAGAATAAATAAATAATGTAATAAGCTTTTAATAATGAACTTTAGAAAGTAGCCAATAACATGATAGATCAGAGGCAGCTGGTTAACTGTAGCCATTGACCTGGGAACATTCTTTGTCCTAAAGTTGCTACCTAGACTGTAGTTCTGAGAAATTAAAGATTCAAATCAAGTAAATCTTGAACACCATATTTGTTATTCTAATTGTACATAATAAATTTAAGAAACAATTCAATGTCATATTATTGAATCTTATTGTAATCAGTTATTACAATGTAATACTATTCTAATATAATTTATTGTATTTTATTTAAACTTTGTTTTTTTGTTTACTCAAATTTCTCTTTAAGTTTTATAAACCCTATTTTAGCATTTTTATTGTGTTCATATAATTTAATGCCAACTATTGTGTGTGTATTTGAAAAGTGATAATTCCAAACATATAATTTTTAATTTATCAGTATTAAAATGTTACAAAAACATGTCCCAACAAATTGTGAAAATCTTATTTATTCATCTTCACAATTCGATCACTTGGGAGCAGTTGTCACTTTTCTTAGTTGATGTGATACTACACAAATTATAATAATAATAATAATGCAGTGAATCAATGTTCGGTTCTAATTGTACAAAGTTTTATTATTTAATCTACGATTAAGCATCAAATCTAGTTATACTAATAAACATCTTTATAATAAATATTTTCAAATATTCATTTATGCTATGAATAATTTATATTTATATCAAGGAAGGAATAATTGAACACAATATGGAATAAAGATATAGACCAATTTTAGATGTACAATCATTGGTTTCTATTATATAATTAACTAAACAGAGTTACTCTGAAAGGCTCAGGTGAATGGAACTTTGTTGCAAACAAATAAAAGTAAACATACACATGAACAGTTTTTCGCTTCTTTTGGAAAACATACTTTCTTAAACTGTCACTTTCAGAACACATGTGTAATATTATTGGGTTGATAACTACATTCATGACCTTTTTACGCACTTTATAAAGATGAGTAGCAGTTAATTTATTTAGAAACTGTTATCTATTAAATTTGGATAAATAATTGTATTTACTTACAAATTTAATAAAATAATTTAGAGAACAAAGAAAACAAAGTATATAGAAATCATAGTTATATCTAAAAAATATAAAACAAATTTTGTGAATACTTCTGTTATTGCAAGAGGTATTCTAATTAGTATTTTTACTTTAGGCAAAGAAAGATGAAGAAGATAAGATTGATGGTTTCATTCCAATCGCTGGTGCTAAAGTAGAAGAGCAAAGAGAGTCTCTTGTAAAAAATATTTTATGGCAAATGGATTGCGATCGTAAAACTGGTGCATTAAAACAATTGCAAGGACATATGTGGCGTGAAGCTTATAATTCTGGAGCAATTAAAGCACAGTAAGTTTTTCAAATATAAAAATCAAAATGTTATATTTACATACATATAATTATTATGCTTATAAAAACAAATTTGTAAGCAAACTAAAAATATTTCTAAACATGTTTTTTACATTATTGATAATTATTGTACTGATCAAAAAGTAATGTAATTTCATAAAAAGAATGGGGAAGTAATGATAACAAGTAGTGAGGTGAATATGTTGTTGTAAGGGCTCACTTCAATTTAATTTAACTTCACTTCAGTTGTATGTGTGTATAATTTACAATTATATAAGTCATTAATAACTAGAGTGTGGATGTTCATACATTTACTATATTTTGAAGTTTGCAAGGTATCCATTAATCATATAATCTATAGGCTATAGGCCTCTATACTTTGCACCCTTCAATATATCATAACTACATAAACATCCACAGTCTATTAATAACATAGTAAACAGATAAGACTGTAATAAATGAATTATTCATGTAGTGTTTACGAAGATGTACCAAAAGCATTAGAGTCTTGGACAAACGATGGTAGAAAAATCTATGTTTATTCAAGTGGTAGTGTTGAAGCACAAAAACTTTTATTTGGACATTCTGTACATGGCGATTTACTTAAGGTACTCTAGTTATGCACAAGTAATAGTTATAAGCATATAAAAACGATTTTAAAATATAAAAGATATTTCATGTTTTGTTATAGTTTTCAGTATATGTAATGGAATATTATTATTTTAGTATTTCAGTGGTTATTTTGATACTGAAGTAGGTGCGAAGCAGGAATCAAGTAGTTATCAAAATATATTAAATAAAATTGGGGCAAAACCATCAACCGTAATTTTCTTAACTGATGTTGTGAAAGGTACGTGATTAGTTTTTAATACACTTTGCTATTTAGAAAATATAACTATTTAAAAATGTGTATTTTTATAATTATTTTGTTTTTCTCTTTACGATAACAGAAGCTGCAGCTGCTAAAGAGGCAGGATTGAATGCAGTAATAGTACTACGTGAAGGCAATGCTGTCTTGACAGACGAAGAAAGAGTAACTTTTACCACCATCAAATCATTTTTAGATGTAACCTTTCAAACTTCTATGAAACGACAAAAGTTAGAAACTACAGAAGCAGAAGAAAATACGAAAAAAAGTGCACCTGATGTTAGTGAACCAATGGACACTTCTGAAGATGTTGAAATGTCCGATGTCAGTGAAAAAAAAGTTGAAAAAGTGGAAACGGACGAAGCTGCTCAAAAAGAAACAAAGGAAACTATAAAATCAGATCAGTTACCAAAGGAAGCTCAAACTTCGGACACGAAAACCGAAGAACCTAAAGTTGCTGATGCAAAGGATGCATCAAATTCTGAAAACGCAATGGAAACCGTACCAGAAAAAGTAGAAAAAGTAGAAGTTCAGCCGTCAGAGGTGAGTACCAAATTAGACGCATCTGAAAATGTAAAACCTGTCGTAAACGATAACACTGAACCCAAGTTAACATGTACGAAGAGTGATGCAGATAAGCCCGTAGTTTCTGAAAACGTAGAAAAACCTATGGACGTAACAGAAAAAATTGTCGATTCTAAACCAGAGGCAACTGTTACTACTAATGACCCCGTGGATGCTGGAACATGTGAGCCTAAATCAAAGTCTGAAGAAGTTACTATTACAGAGAAAAAGACTGAAGAAACAACAACTGTCACTAAAGAAACAAAGTCTGATGATACTAAAGTATCTGACGTAAAAACTACTAAAGACACATCGCAAGAAAAAGCTAATAGTATGAGTATAGATGAAAAGTCAGAAGAATGTATTAAGAAATCAGAGGACAGTACTAAGAAACCAGAAGAAAGTGTTAAAAAGATAGAAGAATGTTCTAAGAAAACGGAAGAAAGTACCAAAAAATCAGAAGAAAGTACTAAAAAATCAGAAGAATGTGTTAAGAAACCAGAAAAAGAAACCAAGGAGGAATCCACTGATAAGGTTGCAATTAATACTAGTAAAACAGAGACTAAAAAATCAGAAAGCGAGGAATCCTCGGAAAAATCAACACAGGAATCTACGAAAGTTGAAGAAAAGCCTTCGGAAAACGGTGATGCTTCGTTAACGAATGTAGAGAAAGAAAAACCTGCGACGAAAGTAACAGAATCAGAGGATACCAACAGTAAAATAGATACAAACGCCGAAGCTAAAGGTGCGACAGGCACGGTTGCGAAAACCGAAACGGAAACAGAATCTACTACCGAAAAATCTCCTAAAGCGAAAGAAACGGAAGAAGCAAAAACGGCGCCTGTAGCGGATGCAGAAAAGCATGAAGCTAGCGCCGAATCGAAACAGGAATTGACAGAAAAACCAGTGAAAGAAGAAACCGCGGAGGAAACGAAAGAAACAAGTACAGTGGATTCCGAGAAGAAAAAATTAAATGGTACAACACAAAATGGCGATACAGATATATCAGTGTCGGATGACAAATTACACAGAAACGGACTGAACGAGGGGTCATCGAATGAAAACGTTAACTCGTCAACGAGCGAAAGTACATCTGCGCAAAACGGTGAACCAGAGAGTTCCTCAGAGGCTAGTGCAGACTCTATAAAAGTCAAAAAAGTCGTTGATTCAACAATAGCCGACGGTGCCGGCGAACCTGACGTTGTTCCCCCAGTAGTTGTAGCTGCGACGTCTTAATCTTGTTCTGATACATTTTAAGAATGTCCTTCATACATAACCCCAACCCACAATACTTATCCACAGATATAAACTGAAAAAGTTGGCTCCTTACACCTTACATAAAAAAAAAATCGTACGACGTTAAAGATGTAACACGTTAATTTAAGATGCAGTTCATATAAGATTTCTATTTCTTCGATAAATGTGAAGGGAAAACGATATGTACAGCGTATCTCAGATTCGATTATCTTTTACGGTCATAGCTTGATATACGTATACTACGCTTGTTGATTATGCTCAGTAGAAACTCTTCGGAAGCTTTATGAAGCTTCTGTTTCCTATTTTACATCGCTTAACTACATTTTGATCTGCTTTATTTTTTAGTTTACTCGTATAAACATATTTTTATAATTGATAATACGACGTTTGTAATACTAATTGACTAGAGATAATCGAAAGTGTTGTTCGCTGTGGTCATTTTACAAGTATTTTTCATTTTTTTTTATCTTTTTCATTCTTTTCTATTGCATTTTTACGATGCGTATTAAGATTTATTTTCTTTCTCGTTGTATTTTTTCTTTTTTAATGCCTAAACGGAATGTTACGGTATGAAAACTCATAGGATAGGAAATTCATCAGAGTATGCTAAAATACCGAATGTACTTTGTGCCAAATGAATGAATTCATCTGTTTCGAAGATTTTTTTATCGTATGTAAACGTTTAACGGTCTGATTGATATTTTAGTTTCTTGTAAGTATCAGGAAACTTTTGACTACTTGTATGATTTTAAGACTGAATTCGTAATGCCTCGAACAGTCGCTGGCTTTAGACTATACGATTTATTATCTTTGCATACTCTTGTGTACTTAAATAATTTTATAAATTGATTAATTAATTAACACACAGTGATCTTCGAATCGTAGGTCGTCCGTAATCCTTTATAAATAAGCTGTGTCTTGCGGTAAACTTTATTTGGCCACGTTAAGAAATGTACTCTTATTGTAATGTGTTTGACATCGTATTTCTTTTTTTATTTTATTTATCGAGATATATACATCTAGTTTAGGACACTTCAAACGACATTGACTCACGCGCATTTTTTTCGTTTTTATATTTTGTATCATAATAACACGGTTTCATACGATTGGAAATTTTGCGTTGCATTCGATACACGTCCTTTAAACAAAAATATCATGACATTCGTATATTGTCAGTCGCATAAATTGTAATATGCTATTTTACGCGTATATATTACTTTATAGTTGTAGAAAATTTCTTCATATACTTAATAGTATATAATGGGTAAATCAATTTCATTTCACGGAAGAAAAAAACAGATCAACTTGAAAACTCATTTTCATTTTTTTTTCGTTCATTCCTTAGAACAGTGATGGGCATATACGTTCTCAAAGGAAGTCAATGAATTTCCTAAAAATTTGTAAATTCTGTATTTCTAAATTCATAAAATTTCTAATTACCAAATATTTATAATTCTAAATCTTAAATTTCTAAATTTTCAGATTACCAAATTTTTTAATTATTATATTTGAAAATCTGAAAATTCGAAAGTTTAGAAATTTGTAAATCTGAAAGTTTTAAGTTTTTGTATTATGAAATTTCTAAATCTTTATATTTGAAAATTTCTAAATCTTCAACAATTTGTAAATTTGAAAATTGATACTTGATCTGCCCATCGCTGTCTTAGAATTAATAATGGTGATCAATGTTACTTTGTTTTTGTTTTTTTTTTTAATTTTCAGATTCGTAAATCATTTACCGAATTTGACACGAACTCAATTATTTATTTATTGTCCATTCCTGTACAGTCAACTGTGATTTAACGATATTACTGATAGACGTAGGGAACTTAAAATGACTCATTAATTATTCGCTTATAGTAATTCCTTTGGCAGGTTATCATATTAATGTTGTTATTATTTTCATTGAAATTAATATGCATCCTGTCTGATTCAAGTCACTGTGAAGACTGTAGATAATATAGATTAGTAGGCGATCAAAGTTTCCGTCTCCTTTTTTTAATTTTTTTTATTTTTTTGCTTATTTTCCATTTCAAATTTTCGATCGTTTCTTGCCGGCGACTATTGCTAGGGAATCTCAACGATCCACAAAAGCGAATAAACGAGATAAACCAAGTGCGACGTCAGTGTGTTCTACACTTGTTAATCTATAAGTCCATGTATAGTCAGTAAACGATTATATTCCGAGATCCCGAACAAATGCATATTTTCCAGGACACTTTACAGACCTCGCATTTATTTATAAGGTGTCCCCGTTCGACGACGAAACCGATTTTTCCCTTTCTAAAGGGAACCTCAGACGATCAATAAATATTGTCAATATCTCATTATCGTCGATGCAGTAAACTATCGTTATATTGCTACAAACTGCAGTGTAAAATTCTTGAAATTGATAAGAATATCTCGATATTGTGGCGGTTTCCATAGTTTCTTGTATGCGGCGATGGTGGGGGGCGCCACTAGAAGTAAAGGTGGCAGTATAACGAGAGTCTACTGTATGAATGCGTGAGAGGAGTCTTAGCATTAAGTTGGTGCATAAATGTCGTTTTTTAAAATAAAATTTTAAAAATACAATGTTTCTTTTGAATAGGATATTTAGTTTAATTTTCCCGGTGATTAGATAATTTCGATATGTTATCATAGCCCTATCATACAATTTCTAATAAATGACACTATTAAATTCTGTAAAATTCTTTTATGTTTATATATTTCTTGTAAATGGTAAACTAATATTTTTAGCATTTTTGATCTGATTATTATTAAGTTTATGTTGGGAGAAATTAATAAAAATTTTGATAATAGTTTATAGAAGTTATTTTTAAATATTCAGTGACTATAAAGAGTTAATGTACACATATGACAAAAAATTTGTTTAATTAGTTTACTTATTCTTTTTAATTATTTACAATAATTATTAAGCGACATTACTGTAATATAGCTTAGAAAAACGATATTTTATATGCACTAATTTAATAACAAAACTTACAGCAATCAAATGTTAAATTAAAAACTGAAAAGTTAATGATACTTAAGCTATTGAAATTTCGCATAACTGTATATCGTTGCACGATGTAGCTGGACCTGTTAGATTCAATAGTTACTCAGAACACATACTAGTCAAATGAGAATGATTTTGAAAATCTTGGGAATATATAAACCTAAATTAAGGAATTTGTGCGGGGGAACGTTCCTCTTTCTAAAAGTCTCTGCACTTTTTTTAGTTCTTTTGATTGATAGCGTTAAAATAGTAACTGCAGGAACTTTGTTTTCATATGTGGAAATTTAGAAATGGAATTGCAAATTTGAAAATTTAGGAATTTGAAGATTAAAGAATTTAGAAATATTAAATTTTCAAATTTCCAAATTTCAAATTTAGAAATTAGAGATTTAGAAATGTGATAATTTGTAAATTTAGGAGTATAGAAATTGAAAAATTTGGAAATTTGGAAATCTGAAAATTTGTAAACTTAGAAATTTTCAAGTATCAAAATTTCAAACGCAGTTTACAAAGTGAAGTTGGAAAGTTACAAAATTTAGAAATCGAAGATTTTCAAATTTCCTAAGTTTCCAACTTTCAAATTGAAAAATTGACTACCTATCAGTGTCCGAATGTATGTCTAATTATAGTTCAACTCTTTTGGAAACTTTTAATAATTAAAATAAAAACCATTGGACTTGTACTGTTTTTCAACTCAAACCACTTTGTAGTCAAGACATTGAAATTACACGTTACTCACAAAAGAAAATTAATTGATTTGCTCAATTATGACATTAAAATTATTCAATTATTTCTATATTAATTAATAGTAACTTTAAATGCAATTTTTTAAATAAAATGGTAGTTTCATTTAGGTTTCATTAATTTAATCTCGAATTTTCTTAATTTATGAATCTGAAGATTAATATCGAGTATGGAGTGTATTTTTACATTATTGATCTCAACTTCTATGCATTTTGTATTTAATTTTATAATTGTTTACAAATATTTCGCGCTTGTTCTCAACGATGCACAAAGTGTCATCAATGAGGTAAATCCAATTTGTCAATAAATTAATATTGACAAAATAAATTGATCGTCTGAGGTTCCCTTTGTGGTCAGTTATGTTTTTGGCGTTGCACGATCCGTCACGAATGGAAGAAAAGAAACCCAGAAGACACGAAATTTTTATCCACGACTTAAGAAGAAATCTCTACTGATGCTCCTCAAATGAAAAATATCCGAGGAATATCGCGGCCGACATAACTGGATGTCACTCGAGTCCAGGTGTATTCAGAATATTTCTGATCGATATTATAAAATCTAAACGGTTGCAAACCCATCGATGCGTATCGGTAACACAAGTATGCCCGAAATAACATGCTCAAGAAAATAATTCTTCGTTTTTTCACCGTTTCTTTTTCGGAAACTCTTAAGGGCAACCTCTGTTAGCGATAATCCACGCACGATTTGACCGAGAAAGCGCGGTTAACGAAACTGTAAAACTGCCGACTTTTTGCCATAACGAATTTTTGTAATTGTTCATTGATGGTAACATTTCGTATTTTCATATTCTGCCTATCGATATATCGCACACGAAAAAATATGCGAATACAGACTGCCATCAGTATGTACAATAAAATATGAAAGCATTCGAACGCTTGGCGACGGTGTGCTCGAGATTCTTCTTGGCTGACTTTCACGGCATCATCTGAAATCATCATCCCATATCATCCATTCTTATTCTTGCGTCGATAGTCGGAGGAGTCGAAGCGCACATCGCCGTCACGCGTTGCTGTTCCTTTACTTTTCTTTCTTTTTTCAATTCTGTTGTAAGTGCTCAATCTCTTAACGAATGTTTCGTTCTCGAACACGATCGTGTTTAACACTTAAACGGTCGGTGAACCGCGGCCATTTTGTACGAGAAGGCAAAAGTTATCGAAGTTTTATAGAGTCTCTACATTTCGCGACGGTTTTAAAATTCGAGGTATAATATCATGTAAAGCTGCGTTCTCGAGAGAGCTCGCTTCCAACCGTTTAAGTATTAATTACTAGTAAGATGACGCGATTAATATTCTAAGTTTAGGAGCGTTAATTCTTTGCGGTTCGACTTTTCATGGATGTGGAATGGAAAGATGGTTGAGGTCTTGGCTAAAATTATTTATTGTCTTAAAATAAATCAATGATTTACTTCAAGTTTAATATTGAAAAGCATTGGCTTAGTTATTATTTAGAAGGAAAGATGTTACCAAGTTTCGTCTTCTTAGGGTTCACTTTTTGACGGCCATTTTGTTGCTTTTTACATTTGAACCGCATATAATTTCACTTAAAAAAAAGGTACTTTACACATTTCTTATATCAACCTTTTTATTATTTTTTATGTATAATTATTATGTAATATTTCTAAAGTTTATAATTTGAATTGTAATATTATATTATTCATGTGTAGAAATAACACTGAAAATGTATGGTCGTCAAATAGTTAATTTAGATATTAATTTATTACAATTATTTATGAATAATAAACTTGAAGTGTGTTATAAATTAACAATGGTTAAAAATTGAGTATTTCTCTTCATAAAACATATGGAAATATTTCGATGTCGGATCGCAAAGTGTTAATTGAAGCGTTTGTAAGTTTAACGTCTGAGTATTTCGATTGCGACGTGTCACCCTGACGATTCGAATTAAAATTTGGTAAACCTGATGTGCAACAACCATTTTAAACACCTTGACTGCCATATCGTAAAATGCCGTATATTGCAAAATACTAATTATTTTTAAGACGCTATTAATTTACAAATTTAAGCTTCTGTTTGTCACCTCCATCTGTATTTTATTAATCTTTAAACATTCAATCTTGACTCAAAATTGAGAACATACTTTTGAATTAAGCATGCAAAATTTTAAATACAATGTAAATTTAGAAAATGAGAACAATGTGGATCAATAAATATTCATTTTATTCGATTACAATAAAAATTGAAGGGGGTCATCCCTCATGGCGGTCAATGTGTTAATTATATTTATCGGGTTGTTCGGAAAATTCGTAACATTTGCGGTAAATGTCGATATTAACGTACTTAAGGTTGTATTACAAATACACTTCATTATAAAATTGTTTTAAAATTTAACTGGAAGTAAATGATAATGATACCTTAACACTGGTCAAATTTTGAAGACTAACCTTACCAAAAAATCATAACTTTTTACAATTTTAATTGTAACGTTTCTAATTTTTTTAACTATTAGAAAAATATCCTATGAGATATTCTATAAAAAAATAGAGATGGTTTATCGTATCGAAATAAAGACTTAGCTTACTTTTTTGTTGGATGT